GTGGGATTGGTGGGGAGTGCTTGGCCTGGTGTCGCCGTGGACTAAGATCCAGTAGGCTAGACCAAATCAGGTCCCTGCGCCTGGCGGTGCACCCTAGCAGTGAAGCCTTCACTATGTTGATTTGGAGGAACACTGCCCAGGTCTGTGTCTCCCTAGTACACTGCAGTGGGCGGGAACACCTAGCCAGCACAATTCAAACAAATGGTAACAGATAAAGAGAAAAAAAAAAAAAAAAAACCTGAGCCTCCTACATACATTTGTACAAAAGGAACAAAAAGTATGGGAAGAGGGAGCAACAAGAAAGGGCCCTCAGTCCCTAATCCTGAGAACACTGATCCAGGAAAGGTAAATGCAAAAGAGAATGAAGACAGAAAACATGCAATATCTGACATGGCACCTATAAACATAAAGCAGTATCTCTGGAGCCTCATAGACGAGTTCAAAAATGAAGTATTTAATGAAATAAAGCAAGAAATAAGTAGAATAGTTAGAGAAATGCTAAGCACCACCCAAGAAAAAACAGATGGTGGAATGGAAGAACAGAAAAAAAAGGGGAGAGTTGTTTGATGGAGAAAATAAAGAAAACATAGAATATGTGAAGCAGGTTCAAAGAGATTACCAAGAAACTAAAAACTCTGTTGAAAGCTGGCATAACAGCTTGAAAGAAACTAAGGATAGATTATCAGAACTGGAGGACAGATTTGGAAGGTGGGAGCATGAAATGAAAAACTTAAAAATAACAAGAAAACAAACAGCAATAATACAAAGGCTAGAAGATGATAAGAGGATCTATAACTTAAGAATTAAGAACATAAAAGAAGAAATAGGGACACAAACAAATGAACTACAAAAGCTATTCACAGAAATAATCCAGGAGAATTTCCCTAATTTAGCAAAAGGTAAAGATACTCAAATGTATGAAGCATACAAGACCCCAGCCACCTACAACCCAAACCTACACCCAGGCATAGAATAATCAAAATTCCAGAAATCCAATATAAGAACAGAATATTAAAAGCCGTCAAAGACAAGAAACAGATCACTTACAAGGGAACACCCATCAGAATTACAGCAGACTTCTCCGCACAAACCATCAAATCACGAAGAGAGTGGGGGGAAATAATTCAAGCTTTAAAAGATAATAACCTCCAGCCAAGATTGATATATCCTGCACAACTGTCCCTAGAAATTGATGGAAAAACAAGGTGCTTCCAGGATAAAGAGGAACTAGGGGAATTTGCAACCACCAATTCAACTCTACAGAGATTAATGCAGGATACTCTAAAAATAAAAAATACCAAGATTCCAGAAACAGTGGCAGAATGGCCACAATGAATGGAGCAGAAAGCAAAATGAAAAAGACAAACTGACAACAAAGGACAGAAAAAGAGCTCAACAGAAATGAGGCAGAGAAGGTTGGATGGTAGGAACAGCCATTTTGGAGAAAACAAGACATCATAATAGGTAGTGCTGATTTAATATCCTCTTGTTTTGAAGTCCCGTCAAGCTTTTGCTCTTCTGTCTCCATCGGTTTTAACCTGCTGTATCTTATTGGATTTTATTATATGTGATAATATAAACAAAAACTTTTATAGACAAGGAGATTATACAGAAACCATTGTTCATTTTCTGTTAGTTGATTCTAAATACCCTGTAATACTGTCGTTCTCTTGAACAGTTTTACATTGTCTTGATATGTTTGATGCTACAGTACCCGAAGTTATACCCAAAGATTTTAAGGAGAGAGACACCATGGTAACTACTTTTATGTCGAGATTATCTTGTGGTGAAACACTATTTTGCTTAAATGGCTGTTTTGACCTGCGCTGTTTTGTTGTTATGCCCTCTTTTTTATCTCAATCTCCTTTTTATTATCTACTTTTTCATTTTTATCCTTTTAATTAAGGGAAAAATAAATAAAAAATAGCAGGATATATTATAGTAACCCATATTGATTTCTTTCCTATTAACTTGATTTGAAACCCTGTATTGCTCTCACCATTTTGTTTTGACTGATTTTCCTCTATTCTGTTATGCTTGATAGTAGCATGTTCAAAAGTATAGGCAACAACTATGAAGACGATAAGATTCACTATGACGCCATTCTAGTTGACTTCTTTTGAAGTCCTCTAATGTCTCCAATGTTTTGGTTTTATTGGTTTTGTTCTTTAATGTTTTGTTCAATTTTATTATAACTGATGATATAAGCAATTCTTTTTAAGATAGCAAGAGGCATTATGGTAAACATTGTTGATCACCTTGTATTTTTATATTACGTATTATATCCATCCTTTTGATTGACTCTGTCCTGCTATGTCACATTTGGTTTTACTTTCTTCAAAAAAAAGTAATAAGAACTGTGGGAGTAATAAAACCCAAAATGTGTAATTGTCATTGTACAAAACAAAGGAAAAGAAAGTGTTCCAAAGGATATAACTGCGTATATATTTAAGTGTGTAAGATAGATAACCATATTACTGAGTTTTGTTGGATCATTGAACAAAACTATTTGCAGTCTCACTGTTTGAAAGTCCCCTCTATATGCTTTAATTTTGTAACTTCAACAACTATTTCTAAGATGACAATAGGTAATTAACTAGTGATTTCCTACTCTTTATTTTTTCTGAAATTCTATATAACTTGTACCCTTTTTCTGGTTTTTTTCTTTTTTCTCCTTAAATAAAATAAAAAAAAATACTTACAAAAAAAAGAAAAGAAAAATAAACAAAAAAGAAAAAGCAGAACCATTCATATATCAAGATTTGATTTATGATAAAGTTAGACTTAGGAAACAGTAGGGTAGTTTTTCAAACTTGCCTCTTTTGTCATCATACACAAAAATCAATTCCAGTTTGTATTCTAAACATTGAAAGCCAAATAATCTTCTTGCAGGTAATATAGACTTATGACTTCAGAGAGGGGAAAGATTTCTAAAACAGGACATAAAACCCAGAAGCCGTTAATTAAAGTATCAATAAATTAAACTACTGTGCATTAAAATAAAGAACTATTTTCTACCAGAGCCCATTTCAGTAGAGTACAGAATAAGCCACAAGATGGAAGAAGATATCTATACATAAATAAAAAGCACGTGTCTTAGAAATCAAATGCTGAAGGTCAGGAAAAAGAAGTAAACCAAAAAAAACCTCACAATAGATTGAACACATCAGAAAAGAGACCAAAATTATAGGATTTTTAGTATAACTAGTGATGAGAAAAAAGCAAATTAAAACCCTAGTGAGATTTCCTTACCCATCAGAATGATTTAAGTTAAAAAATTTGAAATTACAAAATGTTTATGAGTGCCATGTGCGGACCACTAGGGGAGAATTAAACACCAGCCCTCTCCTTGAGTGGGCACCATTCATGGACTGCGAGGGATGAGAACAAGAAGCCAAGCCCTGCCTGCAAGTCAGCGCCATGGGCAGGCTGCTGTGGGGAGAACCAGGTGCCAGCCCCTTCTGGTAGATGGGCTAGGAGACAAGAAGAGCAGGTCTGTTCCCTGCCACCCAAGCAACCAGCTGATCCAGAGAAACACAGGCTGGGGTGATAGCTATTGAGGTAAAATACAACTTAATGCTTGTAGTATTTAATATGCACTGACTGCAGGCCTAAAGCCAGTACTCTGATCATCTATCTATTCAGAGGATAACAATATGCGGTATAACACATAGAAGGGATCTCCCATCTGAAGATGGAGGCCATTGTTAATTCCATATTATCTTGTTCCAAAGCCCTGTATCATTTTCATTGTTTGGTTTGGTTGGATTTTATTCTGTTTTGTCTTATTTGATTTGATTATATCCAATGGCATGGGTAGCTGTTTCAAAGATAACAAAGTATATTATGGTAGCCATTTTGGAATTATGCTATTATCTTGTTTAGAAGTCTCTTATTGTGTTCATTGTTTTGGTTCTATTCTGTTTTGTTTGGTTTTTACTATGTCTGAGGATATGGGTACCTATTTTGAAGACAAGAAGAGGCATTATGTTAACCATTATTGATTTCCTCTTATCTTGTTTTGAAGTCCTGTGTCACACTGTAATTTTGATTGGCTTTATTGTTTCATTTGGCTTGATTTGATTCTTTTTAAAATAAAACTCACAAAAAAATGTGTATGAGTCAGTGAGGTAGTGGAACACTTACGCATACTATTGGGACATAACTAGTACAACTGTTTTGAAAACTCTTTAGGCTACTTCTAAAATTAAAGATGTATATTCTGTTTGTAATGCTTAAGACTGGAAAACTATTCAGGAACAGTAGAATGGATGAAGTTATATTCATTATCATGGAATGCTGTATAACACCAAGAATAACTACAGCTAAGGAAAACAGTACTGATGAATATTACATATTGAGTGGGAAAAGAGTACGAAATATTACACACTGTATGATTCCATTCACATGAAATGTGAAATTAATTAAATGTTTACTGAAGTAAAGTTAGAGAGTAAAGAAAAGTAAGAATATTAGTACCATAAATGACAGGAAATAATTTTTGCTAGAAAAGTGGAAACACATAGTAACTGGAAGAGGATGTAGACGTGCTTCGAATTGCTTTAAATGTAGACATGCAATGCTTTATTTCTTGACCTAGTTGGTAGTTTTGTGGTACTTTAATTCACTAAGCTCTATGTTTTGGTTTTGTATATTTTTTAATTTTTAAAATTTTTATAAGACATGATTACCTTCATCAAGAGGAATTGATCTGTATATATATAATCCATATTACTTCTTCTTTTGTATATTTTTGTGTTATTTCACATTTAAGAAGTAAATTAAAATGTTGCATTCCCAAAGACTATTCAAAGAAGTGAAACAGGTAGAATTTCTAAATTATTTTTTCTGAGTTATTTTTGTGTGATAGTCTACAATTAGTACATAAAATCATGGAAAGACTGACAGTGAAGAGTAGCGTATGATAAAATGAACAAACAAGAAAAAATATATGCGAGTATAAGATACTGATCTTTTTGACCTGTAATTGTATTTTTCAGAAAAAAAGTGTTCATAGTCGGCTGGGGGTTATTTATAACCCGACATCAAAAATAAATGAAGAAAACACTGCTATTTCAAGAGGAATTTTGGCAGCTTTTCTTACACAGAAAAACAACCTTCTGTGGAGCTTTCTCAAGAAACTGTCAAAGGAAGAAACTGCTACAGCCATTTACTCTGGAAGTAAAATTAAAACATTCCTTACTGAGGTCAGTAAATATTTGTTTGACATAATAAGTATATGGTGTATATTTCAAAAATATAGGTCACTAGGAGATAGCATTGTGCTGGGAAATATCAATAAGGATGATCAGTTGAGAACAGTAAACAGTCTTGTAGAATAGAAAAAGATAAACATTAAGTGATATGATTTTGCATGTAGGCATTTAAAAAATCAAATTTTATGTATTTCATTAATTATCCTTAAAGTTGATAACAATCTAGTTTTAGGGTATGTAGTCAAGTGAAGAATTGAGATTAAAGCACTAGGTAAATAACCCTCAAATATTTCACTGAAGGAGTCCGAATGGGTAACATTGTTAAGTTGGAAGATAATTTTCTGGGAGAAAGACTCATTCATGCATTCAGAAATTCTTTACCAATCATCTATCAGACAATGGAGCTATCCTCATGAATAAGGCAGAGAGAATCCCTGCTCTTGTGCAGTTTATGCTGAGCTTAGAAAGTTGTAACAAAATGGTACTAAGAAAATGCAGAGACATTAGAGCACATATAATTTGGAGTGTGTGGTTGTTAGATGGCATACTACAGGAGCACATCTCCAAAGAGTTTACATGTAGCAGTTCTGCACAAAAGGAGAAATCAGGCCATGTAAAGATCTGAGAGGAAAATATTACCAGATTTAGGAACATAGCATAATAGGTCTGAAGGCCTAACACAGATAGTCTTCCCAGGCATGAGGTAGAGGCAGAAATCATTATGGCCAGAATGCAGTGCTGATGCGGAGACTAGTAAGGGATAAGGTTAGACAGATAACTGCAGCCATTTTAAATATTTGTGTATATTGAGAAGCCATTGAGGAATCTTAAGGAAGTGAAAAGGCTAAAAATCACACTTGATTCCATCAAAGATTAGATTGTAGGCAGAAAAGAATGAACACAAGATAAGCAATTAGAATGTTATTGCAGTAATATAGGCCAGAAACAATGGTGTTTTGGAAGAAGGACAGCTAGAGATGATATAAGCTGATTCAGGACTTAGGAAAGTAACCTAGAATTTTTGGCTTGAATAGCTAGAATTAATGATAGTATCTTTCTTTAGATGAAAAAGTCTAGATGAAGAGATTTTTCATATAAAGGATCAAAATTGTGAACATGTTTAGTTGAAGGTATATGTTGGATATTCAAGTGGAGATGTAGAGTTGACAGTTAATTAAATTAGTATCAAACCCAATGGAGAGCTGTAACATCATCTTTTAAAAAATCAGTCAGTATAAGATTCATCAGTATTGTATTCATCACTAAGACCCTGACTGAGATTACCTAACAAGTGAGTAGGAGGATGAGAAACAAGAAGACATAGGGCTGAACACTGAGGTCTGGACAGTGCAGCATGTAGAGGTACCCATGAAAGGGGTAAGCCATTGAAGGAAAGAGATGGAATAGCTAGAAGTTAGAAAGATAGCTAGAAAAGTATGGTGTCCAAAGGCCAGTTAGAAAAGCTATTTCAGGGAGAAAATGATTAACTATGCGAGTTCTTGAAACAGACCCCCCATTTGACCATTTTATTTATTAAGGTGGTTGTTAGAATAATTTATATAAATGAGTTAAAGATCTAAGACAAAATGAGAAAGTAGACATACTATAGGTAGATTTTCATAGGAATTTTCCTATGTAGGGAAATAGGACTGGATCTAGATGGGTTTTGAACATTGCATCTCGAATGGCACGTGAGGTCCCAGTTATACTTATGGAAGTAATTTACCCAAAAATGATAGAATGATAGGAGAGCAAAGTTCTTGAGTAGGTAAGAGGTGGTGGGAACCAACATGGAAGTGTGTTGATGTTAAGAACAAAATATTTCTCTGATTTTATCTGCAAAAGTGGAATCTATGGGCACACATTAGGAGAGCAGATTTTTTTTTTTTTTTAGTGGCAACAAGATGAAATGTTTCTCTTCTGAATGGTTTCACTTTCAGAAGTTGGACCATTAAGTATTAAAAATAGGAGTAGATGATCTTAGAGGTTTTAGGAGAGAAAAGATAATGTCCGATATTTTTCTGTTCAAAAAATGGGAAAGGGAATTAAAATTAACTACATTTATATAAGAAGATTGGTGTTTCTTGTTGAGGACTTCCTTGAAGGTAATGATCATAGTGAAATAACCATTGGTCGCATGTATTTCTCAAGCTGTATTCCATTGTTTAGATCTAGTTGCAGAATATACAGCATGGTGTTTCACTGAAGTTGGACTTTACCAAGTGAATATGGCTGAGAGAAAGCATTCAAGAGAGCTAGTATGGAAAGTCTTAGTGCAGTGGTAAAAGACTCTGGGATACAAATTGGTTTTAAAGAATAAAAGTTATGACATGGAAGGTTAATGAACAGTAAGTAAGTGGCAGGGTCTGTAGGCTAAAAGGTCAAGTAATGGTTGGTCTGGAGATTGTGGACCCACAGGAGATGACTGAAATGGGGATTTTGGATGTGAGAGTTCCCAGACTAGGCTGTCTAGTAGTGTCGCCACTGGCTATGTAATGCTGTTTCATGCTTAACATTAAATACAATTTCAAATTGAATTCCTCTATTGTAGCCACATTTCAAGTGCTAAATGACTGTCTGTGGCTCAGTTACCACACTAGGCAGTGCAAAGGAGCATTTCCATCATCCCAGGAAGGAGCCTGGCAGTTTAAGGCCCCACCCTCTCTCTGGTGTGGTAGAATCAACATTTTAACAAGATACCCAGGTGATTTGTATGTACATTAAAGTATGAAAAGTGTTGCTAGGGAGAAATGTTCCTTGATAAGTAGGTATAATGAACCTGTATGTGGTTGATTTTCTGTGAATGTCCATAAAATTTTTGACTCTTGACAAGGGTTTACTTTTAGCATTTAAATACACTGTTACTAAATTGGTCTTCCAGAATGGTACAATGGATTGAAATAGGCTAGTTCTATTTTAAACACTTTTTATTGAGAACACTAAAATGAGAAGTACTTAGTTCAGGAGTTCATGAACATTATAATTTACTTCTTTAATGTTAAATTTTATTTAAATTGGTATCTTGGCATCTTACTAATTCAGTAATCCTCTAGAAATTCTCAAAGAATAAGTCGCAAACTGTATTTGAATCAAGAATTGAATATACTGTGAATGACTTGGCAAAACAGGATTCTTTTTAAATGTTATTTATGAAGAACAATACTTTTTAAAATCCTAACAGCATAATTTCAGATTTTAAGCTAACACTACTAAAAGTAGATTTTGTTAAAATTATCTGCATACTCACCATCCTTTTATTAATTTTGTTATTTTTACCTTGTATTTTAGGGAATGGATAAGAATGCTTTTGAGAAAAAATATAATACTGTTGGAGTAAATATTTTCCGAACACACCAGTTGTTCTGTCAAGATGTTCTTAAGTTGCGTCCTGGAGAAATAAGTATTGTCAGCAATGGGAAAGTAAGTAGAGGAAGCACTTGCTCACTTTTCACAGTGACCCTGATGTAGTGAGTCTCAACATTTATCTGTCACAGCACACCTGCTGTGACACATGAAGTGCTGGTACTGCTTATGTGATGAACACAAGTCAGGGCTCAGCAGGAGCAGAATGGGTACCTGACCCGCTTACCTGTTCTTCACTACTTTCCCCATTCCTAACATTCTCTGACTCATGAATGGAGGTATGGAAGGGTGTTCTTTGTGCATTTGGTCTTACTGCATTCTAATAAAAGGATTAAAGCAAAAAAGTACTCATTACAAAATGGAGAAACTAGTTTTGTAGTAGATATAGTGAGGACATCAATCTATCTTTTTGTTTCTTGTATCTTTTTTAAATTGTCAAATTACAGTTGGTTTCTATTATAAATTTTGAAGTATTAGGTCATATAAATGCCACATAATATTAACATAATCTTCAAAAAGCTGTTAAAAAAATCATGCTCTGACCTTTTTAATAAAATATATTACTAATAGTTTGTTTTACCTTTCACCTTTTTTCTACCATAGACATTTCTGTTTCTTTGACTTACATGCTTTTAATCCTATTGCTTCCATAATTTCATATCATGCACAATTTTCTTAACAACTTACCAGTCTAATTATTTAGATACAGGATGACCAAAAATTGCATTTTTTGTTAATTTTTGTAAGATAATATAACAATTTTTTCAAATTTATTCAATAGCTTTTCTATGTATTTTAAGACATTCAATACACAATCAGCACTAGTTATAATCTGGTATCCAATCTCTTTCCAGATTCTTTTTGCATTATTGTCTTTCTTTGAACAACACATTTTACACTGTCATGTTGGCCTTTCTTTTTTGTGGTGGCATAGTTTCAGCAAAATGTCTACACTAGTGAAGACATCGATGGTGGATGTCCTGGTTGGTATTTCAGTAGCCCAAATTTTTCAATTATTTGATCTGTTAGACCTAATCTAAATTATAAATAACTTTTGAACCCCCTTGTTTTGAATAAATAACAAGTTTCGTAGGTGTGGTCCAGAAGTTTTGTAAATATTTTATAATAGTTTTTTCCTTGCTTTTGATGACAAGGTAGTTTGTTAGATGTTAGTCAACACTGCCTATAGAATTATTACAATCACTGACCCCTACAGGAATTTTCTATTAGTTTCATTTCTTCTTTCAAATTCTAGCATTTCTGTATCATGAGTAGTTGACAGTAAGGAGATGTCTGTTTTGTTTTTCCATTTTGTAACTCAGGCTTTTCCTCTCTGATGTGCTAACATTACTCGCTTCTGAAGGTTTTCTTTTGCAGATCTTTTGGCACCTCCTTCCTGTTCAGTCTCGTATATTCCAACCGTATTGTAAAAGAATATCACTGACTTCTAGAGAAGTAAAAAAATTATATATACTGTACTTATAAGAACTTTTATGAATTATAGCCCAAAATTCTACATTATTTCTCACAAATAAACACAATTTAGTAAAAAAAAAAAAAACCTAGGACTCATTACATTTCACTAGATAACAAATATAAAAAGCAATTACAAATTTCTAAATTAAAAAGTATACAAAAATAGTTGATATAAAGCAAACATGTATAAGTGTATCTTGTGCATACAAGAATCAACTGGTTGAAATGACACCTGTCCAAGTGAGACTTAGAATGTTCAGTACATAAACAAACATACTGCTCAAATGATGTTTTGGGGTTAACTGTTAAGTGGTTAATATATCACAAACATTTTAATAATTAGTCTCTGTTGACACATACAAAATAAATATCTTCTTATTTTTCAGTGTGATAATCTGATCTTGTTTCTTATTAAGTAAAAAATTGTATCTGCAACTTACATTTATTAAGCAATCAGCTAGTACAATGTTTGATATATTTCTGCTGTAAATTATCAAATTATGTATCCCTAAATCATCTTCAAAACTAATGCATTCTCATTGTATTGTTTCCCATATTTTTATGAACTCTTCATCTGAGTGTTACAGTGTTATTTTACAAATTGGCAATAATTGTTGCCATTTATTATTATACAGAGTATTAATGATTTTTGATAATGAGTTATGTAGAAGCCCAGGAATGACATTACTTTTTTCTTTTAAGTGAGAAGTTTATTTAAACAACAAGATACTTGATTTAAAGGGAAAACTATCTTGGATTCTTTTTTTTTTTAAAGTAATTTACTCCTACTTAAAGACAGATTGCCCTACATGTAACAGCTATGTACAGAAGTTATAAAATTGTCCTTGGTTTTACAATAATAAGTGAAAACATTAAAATTCTCCAGTCAAACAAGGTATGCAAGGATTTTTATCTTGTTATCTTTTTCTATTAAAACAATGAGAGCAAAATAACTTACTGGAATATAAAGATAAGAGCTGAGGGACATATACTAATGAGGAGAAAGGGGATTATTTTCTCAGAACCAATAATTCCCATCCCATTTCCATTTGATGTCAATCAAAACATATTGTTGGCCATTTAGTAAAAAAAAAAAAAAAAAAAAAAAAAATATATATATATATATATATATAAATATGCAATATGTTTGTGCATGTACACCAGATCCTTTATGTACAGTAAAGGAATAGGGAAGGAGTAAATAATGAAAGAATGAAGAAAACTGTCCTGTAGTAGTCAGGATGTGGTGGAACCAAATTGCAGTTTTCTAATTGAGAATCTGTTCTCCGGTTGTAAGAACGTAGCTCTGAAGTAGGGTTGTTGCAGGTTCTTTTTAGAGGATGCCTCCTGTCTGCTGCTGGAACACATCAATTGTGTCTTCAGCCTCCATTTCCAGCTGCGCAGCTGTCTGTTTCATTGATTGATTGTCCATTGAATCGAAATCTGATCTGCCTCGTTGACAAACCCTGTTGTTCACAGTGGGCTGTCACTAGTTTACTAAATGGTATCTGCCTCTTACTCTTAAACCTCATTGTAGCACCATCCTGCCCCACCACCTTCAAATTAATATGGTCATCGTTCTCAGTCTAGACTCCTTCCTTGGGCTTTTGATTTGCCATAGCAAGCACCCAAGCCTTCTTAATAGCCGCTTCAAAAAGAGGTACCAGATCCACACCCAGTGAGCACATAAGCAGCACCTGAGCAGCAGGAGGCAGCAGCAGTGGCGGAAAGGGACATTGCTTTTTTTTAACAGTTGTTTTGGAAGGAAATAACATTTAAAGTATATTTCTGTTTTTGGTTTTATGTATTTTCTTTAGATATATACTAAAGTTATTATAGTATAGTTACAATTAGTAGCAACCATCTTAGTTCTAAAACTGGATTTCTTTGGTATTTTTTATTTTTTTGTGGGTGTTCGTGTTTTTGTTTTGGGAGGGGTGGAGACACGGTCTTGGGATGTAATTCAGGCCAGCCTTAAACTCTGTAGCCCAAGCTGACCTGGAATTCTCAGCAGCCCTCCTGTCTCAGCCTCCTTAGTGCTGAGATTACAGGTGTGCACTGCCACACCTGGTTTAAAACTTTTATCCTCATTTTCTTTACAATTGATTAAAATTTCAGACAGTCATCTTAACACCTGCTGTGAGTTTGAGACCAGCCTCAGCCACAAAGTGAGCTCAAGGCCAGCATGAATTGCATTGTGAGACCCTGTCTCAAAAAGACTGAAAAAGAAAGAAAGAAAGACAGACAGACAGACAGGCTAAATGTTTCAACTATAATTTTTTGCAATTTTATGATTTAGATATTAATTCAGGTCTACCTAATACAAACTGCAGTTTACAGATAAACAGAAAAATGAAATTAAAAGATTTATACACTATGGATAATTACTTCCTTAAATATTTGGAAGCATGATTTTAAAGTAAGACTTTATAATGGAAATAATTTACTACTTTTACATTTTCTTATTTTGATTTTGATTATACAATAATATTTGTAATACTGGAGTGAGAAAATATTTTTCTCTTTTGCTTCCCAAAGGATTTAGTAAATGGTGGAATTAATGCCATCATCTCTAATCATTTTTTGCTTAACAAATATTTGATGAAAAAATAGTTTTATTAAACTGCTATCTTCTAGAAGATATACAGTGATGTATTTTCATTTTAAGTTTTTAGGACCTTTAAATGAAGAGATCTATGTAGAAGATTTTTACCTGCTAGAAAAGATAGCATTCAATAATTTAGCAGAGAAAATTAAAGGCATTGTTGAAAATATGAAAATCAGCTCAGAAAAGTAAGTATTTGAATCATAAGAGTAACTGATTATGGGATTTGAAATCTCATACATGGTATTTCTTTTTAATCTTTATCGTTTCAACTGTGTAAACTATAAAGATGCATGGTAAAACATAACAAAACATCCATTTACTCCACACTATGAATATTAATGTTTTCCTTGCCTTGAAACTTACTCTTTCTCTTAGTTTCTTACCTATCCAGCCCCAATCCCTCTCTACCTAAGAGGTAGGCATCTTTTATAGGTCGTATGTGTGATTCCCACATTTGTGTTGATACTTGTGTTGGTATACGATATCGGTATCTATGATCTTTGTTAATTGTGCTAAATGCCTTGACCGTTTTAGAGAAACGCTATTGTCCTGTAGGTCAGCAGTGGCGATCCTGTGGCACGCATGGCACAGTGGGCACGCAGAACCCTCCCTGTCTGTCAGCATGCGAGCCCGGCTGTCCCTGCATTGCCCTAGCGGCCAAACACTGGCTAGTCAGTTCGATTGGAGTGTTGGGGCTGTGCTAAATAAATGAGTTTTGGGTGTCAGTTTGGGTACTCAGTCTCTAAAAGGTTTGCCATCACTCTGTCAGTTTTCTTTGTAGTCTTTCATGAGAACTTTTAACTATATACATGTGTACAGATCCTTTCTTGCAGCATTAATTATGATGTAAAATATGAAACTTTTTCTTCCTAAAAATCTCATATATTGTTTTATCTTATTTATCTAGCATGAGTGACCTTATTATGAAAGTTGATGCTCTTCTTTCCTCTTGGCCTAAGCAAACACCTTGGTATAATGTCACATTTCTTAAAGAGAAGCACAGGTAATGATATAATGGTGTCCAAGTTTTTTCTGTCAGTGTATGCTATACTCAATTATTGTTTCTATTTATTTTCATAACATAGTAAAATTTAAAATAGAATTACAGGTTTTTTCGGAGAATAAATGTATTTGACAGTGTTAGGTAAAGAAATTACAAGGTAAAGGGTACAGTTGGCAGAATACTTCTTTCTTTGCATATACATGGTCCTGTGTTCAATCCCTAGGATGACAAAAGAAGAAAACATTCTAGAATGATACAGAATGATGCATACAGAATGATGCATGTGAGATATGAAATTTTATGTAAGTTATTCCTGACATAATTTCTCTTACTCCAAATGTCTTTTTCTCGTGGTCAAGATCATTTTTTCTGCAGTGTCTTGAAACAGTCATTATATATAATATCTAGGTCTAAAGACTCAGTTCTAGAGTTCTGGTTAACCAAATGAAATTTCAAATAGATAGTATTTTGCAACAGCATGTCTCAAAGTTTGTTCTGGGATGCTGATGAATATATTCTGAAGAAACGCCTAGTCTCTGGTCAAGTGAATTTGAGGATCACTGCATTTTAGGCATTTTTAGTTCCTGTTTGTATATGTTACTATACTATTTTTATCTCCATTGGCTTAGGTTGTGTAATATAGCATTAGCTTTCTTGTCTAAAAACAAACAGACAAAAAAACAGCATTTGAACACCAAAGTACCACTTAACTAGCTGTGACCAGTCTTAATTTCGAGTATGTAAATACAGATGATGTTCCCTGCCACTCATGGGTTATGTGATTCAAGCTTACTTTCTTGTACATGTGTAGATACTTAGTGTGCTATTGCTATTATTTGTATTTGTTCCACAAATAATGATCTCTCACAATTTGGAAAAAAAGAGAAATAAAATTGAACTTGAAAGCTAAACTCTAAAATAAACACAAATAGAATAAGGAGAAATCTGAATACTTACCTGAAATAGAAGACCTAGGCCAACAAAACTTAATGATAACTTGATTTAAATATGGTTACCCTATTTTACCCTTAATTTTACTTTCCCTGGTTCCAGTTACCTGTGATCAGTTGTGATCCTCAAATAAGTATAGTATAGTGACAGTAAATTAATTTGAGAGACCACATTCATATAACTTTCATTATAGTTTATTGTCATTATTATAGTTCGTTATTGTTAATCTGTGCCTCATTTATGATTTAAATTTTATCATAGGTATATATACCACTACAACAACAAAAAAACCCTAGATTTTGGGTACCACTAGGAATAAACATATCTCCTGGGAAGAGGGGGTGAGCTCTGTATTTAATTTATTGAAGAAATAATTGTTGGATTTTCTTTGTGTTGGAAACTTTCAAAAACTAAAGAGAAGATCATTAGCAGTGTTCAGTCAGAGCAGTTGACTTACTGCACATGTGCATTTGTTTGGTTATATATGAGGGATGGATAGATAAAAGTTTGTGTAGGAATTATTTGTAGGACTTGGCCTTACACAGTTGTCAGAACTGGTAAAACAGTTTCCTTAAGACTTGAAACTTCTAGTGCTGGCACTTGAAGTTCACAGGACAAGCAGTCAGGAAGATGGCAATAAAAAGGGCAGTTGGAGAGCAAGCTGAAACCCTGCAAAGATGAATAGAAATTTGTGTCAGCCCTTGTTGCCTCTGACCTTGGTATTCTCCCAAGATGGGAGCCCTCTCCTATACAGCTGTGGGCACACAATGCACGGCCAGGTATCAGAGGAGCTGAGGGAGTCTCTAGGGAAAGGTTCAACTCATTGTAGACTAACTGCTATCTTAGGTCAACAGGGTGACTCAACCAGCAGCTCAGTAATAGTAATTTCCATGGAGCTGCAGAGTGATCCTGCCCCCTTGCTGATCTTAGAGTCTACTGAAAACCTCTCAGGCCCAGACAGGCCTGCCACACATCAAGTTGAGGCAGTGTCTGCCAATTCCCATGATAAGACAAAAATACAGGGTTTAACAAATATATGTCTGATTTCTTGGTCATTTCTAAATCTATGTTCTCTGTTACAGAAGTTATTAATTGTAAAAATAACTAGCTTTTCTAAATAATGTACTACTACTATTAAAGATTCCCTGAGCTTACCCATGTGTCTTGAAATTACCACCATTAGTAATTTTCTCTAGAACTACCATTCTTTGTCAATGAATATGCATTCTTCACATTTTTTTCCTATGAAGGAAAATTATGATTGTGTTTTGTAAATACAATTCAATGTTAAAAATTTCTACATAAAGTCACATACTACTAATTGTAGAAAATGTTAATCATCCTTTAGAAATTGATGTTAGGATACTGTACCTAAAAGATGAACAAGAAATTCAAGTATTATTTGAGTTTACATATATATTATTTCTGTAGTAATGTATATATATTACTTAATAAGCATATTATGTACTTCTATAATCATATAAAAATGTATTCATTTAGCACTTTTTATGGAGATACACATTTTTTCAACACAGTATTGTATCTTTGGCACTTTGCTGTCATGTCTATATGGACTCAGTATTAAAATGTTAAAACATATTATAAATCTGTTGTTATATTAATGTTTGATTGTTATTCCTTCTAAAATTTAAATTGGTTCATAAGAATGTTTAAATTTTACAAAGTAACTTAAATTAGAAGGGTTGCGAGAGAAGAAGAAAAGGCCAGTGATAAATTAGAATTACAAATAAAGTGAAAAAGGAAAAACATAGTTATCCTTTTCCTCTGCCCCGAAGAGTCTTTCTGAATCTCTGTGCTACCATTATTTTGATCCCTCTGGAATAATGTTAATTTTGTGTTTTTCTAATATCTTTGCGAAAAGTAACAAGAGGTCTTAACTGTCACCTCATCGTCCTTGGAACTTCACAGTGACAAATGCAAGTTGTGTAAGAATGTGCAATACAAACCATTTTGAAGGAGGCTTTACACTGCTGCTGTAGTGACCTTCCTGCTTGTCATGAGCGTACCGTGAACTAAGCTCTGAGCTTACAACTTTGCACAGTTCTGAAGTTCATGAGATGAAAACACACTCACGGTCCACGCAGAATGTAACTATTCTTAGAGGAAAGAGGTCAAAGGAATTTCTCCCAGGAGCTTCATAAAAAGTATTCTGTATACTGAACAGTGGTTTCAACAGCATTGTTAAAATAGAAAACTTGACCTGTTTTATAAATAATATAAATAGGGACTGGTAGTATCAAGATAAAATGCAGCTCAGAGTTTTCCACTGTTGTGGCTTGACTGAGATGTGTTTAGTGTATGTAAAAGAGTTGATGAACTTTCTGTACCTCAAACAGTCCTTTACCATTTTTGTTTCTCTGACCTAAGCTTTAGTAATAATCAACTGTCATTATGCTTGACATTATTTTCTCTGGCTAATGGCATGAAGTGTATCAGTAGTTTCTTAGCAATTGAGTATAAATCTATGACCTTAAATAAGAAGCAGAGGTACAGGTAGCATCTTGTTAATGTTGCATGAAAAGTAGTGCGTCCTACTTCCATTCTTAAGTCAGTCGGCCCCAGTTGGAATGGTGCCTGCCCAAGTATCATAGTATATAAACAAGTGCTCCAAGTGACACTCACAGTAAACTGTTAAGTGGTTGATAAAACTTGGAATGTGTTTTGTATTTCCCTGTTATGTTGATTTTATAAAATATTAAGTATACTAAAAATACTAAATAGTTAATTTTATTATTTTCAAATCTGAGGACATATATTCAACCAACACATAACGATCTTGGCTTTTTCTTGTTTTTGTTTTTGTTTTGGTGGTGGTGGTGGTAGTGGTGGTTTTTTTGGTTTTTGTTTTTGAGACAGAATCTCACTATGTATTTCAGGCTAACTTTGAACTCATTATGTAGCCCAGACTAGCTTTGAACTCATAGCTCCAGGCTAGCCATCCTCCTGCCTCAGCCTCGCAAAAGGTAGTATTACAGATGTGTACCACTACCCACAAGAGCTTTATATTTTTACATTATTTTATCTGTGTGAATTTTTAGGGACTAAAACTTATGTTTATTGTTCTTTAAAAATTTTTTAACCACTTGTTTGTACATCTTTTATTTTCTTGAATTGTTTGCTTTTCTTAACCTGTTAAATACAGACTTTGAAATTTACATTTTGTTGTATTAGATAACTAGAGGTTTTTTTAAATCCAGTTAAGAAGAAAATTTGTGAGACTGTGTGAAGCTCTGAAGATAGTGATTAGTAAGATATTTGTGTAAACCTAACCCTTCCCTTTTTACCTCACTTGTTTTCTATTTTTCTAGCATTATAAAAATAAATCCTCAAGGAAATGATGTGGTCTTTGATGTCGTTGCTATTGTTGATCCCTTAACAAGAGAAGCACAGAAGATGGCACAGTTACTGCTTGTAAGATAATGTTTTTATTGTGAAACTTACATTTTCAAGTCTGTTTTTAAGTACAGTCAAGTATTTGTGCTCTTAGTTCTTTTTATTATCCAACAGATTATCATGTTTAACATAGAAAATAAAGTGAAAGAACTACTTCCAAGTTGTTACAACAGTATTGAGATAGGCTGTTCCTGTAGACTGAATTTTGTGCCCCACAAAATTTGTATTTCAGCAGATGAAATATTTTTCAATTAACTTTATGCCCAGGCTCTCTCTGTGTAGAGATAGGCTTTTAGGAAGTAAAGTTAAATGAAGTCATAAGTGGTGTCCTAGCTGGCCACAGTGGCACACCTGTAATTCCAGTACTCTGGACTGAAACAGTATGACAAATTCAAGCCCAGCCTGAGCAACACAGTGAGCTAGACAGACACTGTCTTGAACTGAGGATGCCAGCTCAGTGTGCAAGCACTGCATTAAATCCACAGTGTCAAAAAAAAAAAAAAAAAGATTGTAGTTGTGGATTGGTGGCCTCATAAAAAGAGAGAGACTGTTTCCCAGGCACACAGACAGATCATGTAAACACAGTGACTGGAAGGCTGCAGACCAAGAAGAGAGTTGTTACCAGAAACCAAATCAATAGAAATATGATCTTGGACTTCCCAGCTTTCAAAACTACATGAAAATCTTTTTGTTGTTGTTTAAGTCACTGGGTCTGTGGTATTTTGCAGCAGCCTGAGTAAACTACTACAAAATAGCTTGTCCATGTTGGGAAGGATGTTCAGGACAAGCCGAGGCTTAAGCCTAATTATGTGAAGCTTAAAGTATAACTAATGTTAGCCAAACAGGCAAAGGGGAGGGAAGGGAGAACGTAGACCATAATCAGTAGGTTTGTTACAAAAAAGGCACAAAACATCATACCTTCAACAAGATGAGGTTTCTTTCTGCCATCTAACACTCCAAGTATAAACTACCCACAGCTAACAAGCCTCCACAGTGTGAGGGATTGGATCATTGTTGAGCGAGTTGTTCAGGCGTCCTCACACACTGCCTTCCATCTGGGGGTCTAAGATCATTGGCCAAACTTCTGAGAGCTGTGGTGTCATCTCCATATCACTGTTGGCAGAAAAAACAACAAGAGTACAACCCCCACGTTGGACACATTCAATGTGTCTTTTCTCATGGACAAGAATACAACCAGTCGGGACTTCCGGGAGAACATGGCGGATAGATAACAGCAGCTACGGAGGCTCTCTGAGATACCCTGCTCAGAATCCAGGAATGGGGTGGTGCGAGGAGTCCTAAGCAAGGGAAGATATACCCTGCCAACCCAGGAACGAACTAAGAGAAACCAACTGGAAACGTAATCCTGGTGCTATAACAGGAACAGATAAAATCTCAGCTCAGAAGCTGGATCCCACACCATTGGAAGCCGCAATTTGAATTTCCTGCTGCATCCAAATTAGAGACACATGAAAACTCTGAGAGTGGGAATTGGCGAACGGAGGTGAGAACGGGATTGGCAGGGAGCCCTGCATTGACCTGCAGTGAGTGAGTAGACCGGGGACCCTTCCATAGAGTAGGAGGCTTTAGTAAAGGACATATTGGGACCGGGCAGACTTGCTGGAACAGGACACTGCAGTAATTTTAGTCGCATATTCCCCTCTTAAGCAGGATTGGTGGGGAGTGCCTGGCCTGGGTGATGCTGCTGACTAAGACCCAGTAGGCTAGGCCAAACCAGTGCCTGGAGGTGCACCCTAACAGTGAAGCTTTTGGTAGGTTGACCTGGAGGGGAGGGCCCATCAGAGGCTGCCCGGGTCTGTAGTGGGCAGGAACACCTAGCCGGCACAATTCAAACAAACTGTAACAGACAAAGAGAAAAAACATTGGGCCTCCTATATTTGCTTGTATGGAAGGAACAAAAAGTACGGGAAGAGGAAGCAACAAGAAAGGGTCTTCAGTCCCCAATCCTGAGAACACTGATCCAGGAAAGATGAATGCAAAGGAGAATGAGGAAAGAAAACATTCAATATCAGACACAGAACCAATAGACAAAGCAGTATCTCCAGAGCCTCATAGATGAGTTCAAAACAGAAGTATTTAACGAAATAAAGCAAGATATAAGTAGTATAGTTAGAAAAATGCTAAGCACCACCCAAGAAAAAAACAGATGGTGGAATGGAAGAACAGAAAAAAAGAGAAGAATTGTTTGATGGAGAAAATAGAGAAAATATAGAATATGTGAAGCAGGTTCAAAGAGATTACCAGGAAACTAAAATCTCTATCGAAAGCTGGCATAACAGCTTGAAAGAAACTAAGGATAGCTTATCTGAACTGGAAGGCAGATTTGTAATGTGGGAGCATGAAATGAAAAACTTCTTAAAAATAACAAGAAAACAAACAGCAATAATACAAAGGCTAGAAGATGATAAGAGAATTAAGAAGATGATAAGAGAATTAAGAATTAAGAACATAAAAGAAGTAGGGACAAAAACAAATGGACTACAAAAGCTATTCACAGAAATAATCCAAGAGAATTTCCCTAATTTAGCAAAAGGTAAAAGATACTCAGATGTATGAGGCATACAGGACCCCAGCCACCTACAACCCAAACAGAGCTACACCCAGGCATAGAATAATCAAAATTCCAGAAATCCAATATAAGAACAGAATATTAAAAGCCGTCAAAGCCAAGAAACATCACTTACAAGGGAATACCCATCAGAATTACAGCAGACTTCTCGGCACAAACCATCAAATCATGAAGAGCATGGGGGGAAATAATTCAAGCTTTGTAAGATAATAACCTCCAGCCAAGATTGATATATCCTGCACAACTGTCCCTAGAAATTGATGGAAAAACAAGGTGCTTCCAGGATAAACAGGAACCAGGGGAATTTGCGACCACCAATTCAACTCTACAGAGACTACTACAGGATATTCTGAAAAAGGAAAATACCAAGATTCCAGAAACAGTGGCAGAGAGGCCACAATGAATGGAGCAGAAAGCGAAATGAAGAAGATAAACTGACAACAAACGACAGAAAAAGAGCTCAACAGAAATGAGGCAGAGAAGATTGGATGGTAGGAACAGCTATTTTGGAGAAAACAAGACATTATAATAGCTAATGCTGATTTAGTATCATCTTGTTTTAAAGTCCCATCAAGCTTTTATTCTTCTGTCTCCATCGGTCTTAACAGGTTGTATCTTATTGGATTTTATTATATGTGATAATATAAGCAAAAACTTTTATAGACAAGGAGATTATACAGAAACCATTGTTCATTTTCTGATAGTTGGTTCTAAATACCCTGTAATACTGTCATTCTCTTGAATGGTTTTACATTGTCTTGATATGTTTGGTGCAAGATTTCAAGGAAAGAGACACTATGGTAACTACTTTTATGTCAGGATATCTTGTGGTGAAACACTATTTTTTTTAAATGGTTATGCTTTGACCTGCGCTGTTTTGTTGTTATGTCCTCTTTTATCTCAATCTCCTTTTTTTATTACTTTTTATTTTTATCTTTTTAACTAAGGGAAAAATAAAAAATAGCAGGATACATTATAGTAACCCACTTTGATTTCCTGTTAACTTGATTTGAAACCCTGTATGGCACTCACCAACTTGTTTTGACTGATTTTCCTCTATTCTGCTTTGTTTGATAGTACCAAGTTCGAAAGTATAGGCAAAACTGTGAAGACAATAAGATTGATTATGACACCCATTCTGGTTGACTATTGTCTTCTTTTAAAGTCCTGTAATGTCTCCAATGTTTTGGTTTTATTGGTTTTGTTCTTTACTGTTTTGTTAATTTTATTATAACTGATGATATAGGCAATTCTTTTTAAGATAGCAAGAGGCAGTATGGTAACCATTGTTGATCACCTTGTATTTTGTTTTTACATTATTTATTATGTCCATCCTTTCGATTTGACTGACTCTGTTCTGTTATGTCACATTTGGCTTTACTCTCTTCAAAGAAAAGTAATAAGAATTGTGGGAGTAATTAACCCAAAATGTGTAATTGTCATTGTACAAAAGAGAGGAAAAGAAAGTGCTTTAAAGGATATAACTGCATGTATATTTAAGTGTATAAGATAGATAACCATATTAGAGTTTTGTTGGATCATTGAACAAACTGTTTTGCAGTCTCACTGTTTGAAAGTCCACTTTGTATGCTTTAATTTTGTAACTTGAACAACTGTTTCTGGGATAACAATATGTAATCTATTAGCTGGTGATTTCTTACTGTTTATTCTTTCTGAAATCCTGTATAACTTGTACCCTTTTTCTGTGTTTTTTTCTTTTTCTCCTTAAATAAATTTTTTTTTAAAAAAAAAGAGGAATGTAGCTCAGCATTAAAAAAAAAAAAAGAATGCAACCAGTCATCTGCTATGCTAAGTGGCAAGGGAGGCTAGAAACTAATTACAAACCTTACATAAAGCTGAAAATTTTTTTTTATCCTCCACCCCATGACACTTAGGATTGAACCCACAGAGTGATAAACTACATCCTTAACCCTTTTTAAAATTTATTTTTATTTATAGTCACTAAGTTGCTCAGTGAACCTTGAACTTGGAATCTTCCTACTTCAACATCCAGAGTAACTGTGGTTAGAGGGCTGCACCTTTGGTAACCATAATAAAACTGAAAATTCTTTTACAAAGAAAGTGGAAGGATGTTATGAGATAGCTGTAACTCCAAAGGGACATTGTGTGCCTTATCATTTTACTGAGAATTTCAGAGGTTCAAATTTTAATGCAGCTGGACAAGAGATTTAGCTCAGTGAAGCAATGCCTGCCTGGCAAGCATGAGGTCCAGAGTTCTATTCCCATTACTCCCCCGCAAAAAAGTTTTAATGCTGGTTTCCAGTAAATTTGAATAAGCTAGTTACATTAGAAGGCTGTATGAATTTTTAGTGATGTTCAAAATTTTGGTATATTCCAGTTTGAAATCACTCAACTTTTTTTAAAGATATATATTTTTTAAATATTCTCAAGTGGATACTGTCCTTTTGACAGTTTTATTAAGCATGGAAACAGGAAAATGTAATCACATCCAATTAATAATGCAGGTGATCAAGCCAGGTAATGTTGGTATATGCGTTCTATGAAAACTTTTAATTGTAGTTTTTCTTACAAATTTATACTATCAAATCACACTGAGAAAAAAGATCATAAAGGTCTCCTGTACATATATTAAAGTAGACACATAATTTTGGAAAGATGTTACTACCCCACTTTGCTAACCTATCTTTTCAGGCATATGAACATAGCAAACCTAATTCTATGGCTGATTTCCCATTCTTTTAACCATTTGTATGCCTTCAAATTTGAACTTCTTGAGATACTCTGTTCAGAATATTCTTTAGAAAGAAACAATAATCATCTATAAAGGAGTGAAGCGTAGTGTACAAATTCTGTACATTTCTATGGAGAATCATTATTAAGGGTAAATTAAAACATTGAGACTATGTAAAAAAATTAAGGAATCAGAAATACGTAGTTATATAGAGATATAAAATGTGCAGTTGCACACCAGTTTATCTTACTATTAATAATAATGTACTTTATTTCTGAACAACTTTCTTTTTAAAAGAATACATTAGTTTATTGGAAGAAATATACAGTGTTTCATTTAACATCAGGAAAGATAGTTGGTTCAACAACCTCCACAGTAGCAAATTAGAGGAATGATAACATGAGTATTAAAACACAGAGCTGCATATTCTGGCCAGGGGTAATGGGCGTGCACGTATTCCCAGAACTTGGGAGATAAAACAGGAAGATCATTGAAAGTTCAAGGCCAGTCGGAAAGACAAAATGAGACTCTGTCTCAAAAGTAAATAAATAAACAAACAAAACAGAAGCTGTATGTTCTGATTCCTCCCCAGAGCTGTACCTTTTCTATGTATTGAATTCGTTTTTTGGTGGTTTTTTTGGGGAGTGAGCGAGTTGTTTTGTGTTTTGCTTCTCCCTTTACCTGCATCTTTTCTTGTCTGTTAGCTTTATTTTTCTTCTATTTCTTATTAATTTCAAGGAAATATAAAGAAAATAGAGTACTTCATCTGTAAACAAGAAGTTCCTAGATCTTTTAAAATGTAACTTTCAAATGAACTTTCAAAAGGATCAAGGTACCCTTGCCAGTGTTGTGAGGTTATCGCTTGTGTTTGCAGATTAAGGTTTTAGTATTTATTTTACTTGTTTTTCAGTACTGAAGAAAATTAGATACCGTGAAAGAAGGTTGCTTTTAGGGTAAAGGCAGGCAACTTAATTCTAGAATATTGGAAAGTTGTTTGACTTCAACTCTTCTTTGTGGCATGACTTACTGTAACTGTGGCCAAATTATTTAGCCTATACCTCATGAAAATTCTTAGGAAAATAAATATAATGCCCAATAAATGATGCATGCTTAACTAATCTTAGTCATTAATATTATTTAGAATCAAATATGGAAATTTCTTAATAGGTACTGGGCAAGATTATAAACATGAATGTAAAGCTGTTCATGAACTGCAAGAGTAAGCTTTCAGAAGCTCCTTTAGAAAGGTGAGTTGAATGAACATAATTTTTTTAAAATATTTGCACATACTAAAAGAAGAGGTGGGGCCATTATTTCCTGGATCTGTTTTGCTGTCTTCTCCACTAGATGCTTCAATGGTGTAGATTAAAAAGTAATATTGTTTATTACACTCTTAATATAAACTTGATAAAGAAATGTGAATACCCATTTAGAAATATATCACTGGAAACTTAGAATTAAAGCATTTTTGGTTTAACTGTACTTTCAATATTTAGAGCTGAATTGTAAAATGATCTATATTATACCATCACATTTATATTTTATAGTATTAGAATGAAAATAGTTTAGCATAACTTGTCAGTGTTATACAAAATGTTTAATGTTATTTGCAAATATTCCAGTTAATACTGTCCTATTTTGACCCCTTCTGTCATCTCTAAAGAAGGGTCAGAAATAATACTCTTCTTTCTGGCTTGGAATCACTCTCATTGTGAGCCACTCTTACTGATAGGAATACTTAGTATTCTTCAAGGGTTACCAGAAGATAAAAGAATGTGCACCATAGGGCTAATATACCTTTGTAAGGCTTCCTAATGTGCCTGTGTTTGTATCATTTAATTATATAAGTAGAAAATATGCATATATACAAGCAGTGTGTAGCATTCAGTTAATTCCTTTCTACATTGCCTTGATTAACCTCAAACTTTAAACTCTCCTGCCTCTGCCTCCCAGGTAGCTGGGATTGCAGGTTTATCCCAGCCACCTTACCTGGCTATCTTCATATGTTATAAATGTGGCTGCCTGCATGACTACCACTACATGAGATTCATCCTCTGTGAAATTCTGCAGGGAGGGCTGTACCTAGTGATTTTGCTTCTCATGAACAAAATACAACAAAAATGATGGAATGTCTCTTCTATGATGAGGTTATAAAAGATAGTCCCTTGTATTTTGCTGACTTTCCCTCTTTTTGACTCTAGCTGCATGTTTCATTTTTTTATAGAAAAAAACAGAAAAATCAAGCAAACAATTAAAAAACTACAACAGTAAAACAATGGCAATACAGGATTTCAAAACAAGATGATAGAAATTTAACAGTGGTTCTTTTTTTTTTTTTTTTAATCAGTACCAGGGATCGAACTCACGACCACGCATTTGCAAGGCAGGCGAGAAATTTAACAATAGTTCTTACATTGCATATTCTTATCCTCAGAGTAATTGCTCAGGCTACCAGAACAGGCATGCAAAATTCATCCAATAATATCATTTACCTTGGAGCAGTTTCTTTCCCTTTTACTGTATCTATTATAACTTTTAGATCTCACAGTGGTATATGTGCACCCATGTTTATAGCAATACAATTTGTAATAGCTAAATCTTGAAAACAACTCAAATACCCATCAACTGAGGAAAGAGTAAAAAAGATGTGATTTTTATTTTAAAGATAATAAAACCAAACAAGACAAAACAGAACAAAGCCAATCAAAATAAAGCAGTGAAATTGGCACAAAACTTAGAAGCAGTACAACAGGAAATCGATGATGGCTATCATAGTGTATCTTCACAGTAGTTGTCCATTCCATCAGGTATAGCAAAATCAAGCCAAACAAAACAGAATAAAACCAATCAAAACAGAATAAAGCAAAACAACAAATTGGAACACAACAAAGCAGAACAATATTAGACTTCAAAAACAAGAAGGAAATACCTATACTTGCTGTATTGCATACTGTTATTCTCCCAGTAGAAGCTCAGACCTGCAAAGTCAGCCAAACAATACAAGCATTCAGCTTTTTGTACATCAGTTATCAACTCAGACTGTCTTCCAGTTGCCCACGGAGGAGAGTAGATCTTAGCCTGTGCAGTAGGCTCATGGGAGGCACTATCCGGCTTCTGTCTCCCTGGGCCCTACAAGGTTTGTGCAGCTTACTGGAAGGCTGGTTGGCTTCTTAGTGGGCTCCTCCCAGCCCCAGCATGGTTTCTGCCAATTCATGGGAGGCACTTTCTGGCAGATGTATTTTTAAGTAACAGAATACTACTCAGCCATAACGATCAACTCAAGGCTTTTATAGGTAACTGGATGCAACTGGAATCCATACTCATAAATAAATAAATCAGACTTGCATGTGTAAGCACTTATTGTCTTGCTAGTGTAAAAAACCGAAAGAAATAATAAACCAGTTCCTAGGGGCTGGGGATTTAGCTCAGCAGCATAAGCACCTGCCTTGCAAGCAGGCGATCGTAAGTTCAATCCTTGGTACAGATAAAAAGTTAAAAAATAAATAAATAAAATAAACCAGTTCCTGCGTGTTTCTGCAGGAGACGCCTTGCAACAACTGCATGAGGGCGGCAGTCTCCAGCCAGCCGTGCTTGAAACTGTAGCCCTCTTTCCAACAGCCCATCCCAGGTTGGGCAATCCTAGTAGTAGATCCCTGGCTTTCCTTCTTCCCTCAGGGAGGCCCATTTGCCACCTTGATGGTGGTCTTCCCATAGTGAAAGTCATGCCTCTTTTTTTCCCCTGTTTATGTGTGTGTGTGTCATGCTAGGAATTAAACCCTTGGCCTTTCCACTGAGCCTTATCACCACCCTTTTTTATTTTGAGATAGGATTTTCCTAAGTCACTAAGTTCCTCAGGCTGGGCTCAAACTGGCAGTCTTCCTGCTTCAGCATCCCATAGTGCTGAAATTACACCCACTACAACACCTGCTTTACAACTAATTCTTACTCTATGCGATACTTGACAGATGTGGCTAAAACATAGTCTAACCACAGATATACCTAAAAACTCTTTAAAGCGGCTGCATTTAACTCAGTCCTGTTTATTTTTAATTCAGCTTCAGTAATTGGTACTAGAATTTTAGCTAGAATTTTACTTGTTTTCTGGGTCTTATTTCCCTTTATATTAGTAGTAGTAAGAGTTAATAAAATAGTCAAAAAATAGACCATCAACTGTGAAAGAGATATGAACACAGACCATAAACCATTAGAACTTAGGTAAGTCAGGTATATCTTACAGATATTCTGACCGTATTCATAAGAAATAATTATTAACAATATGTAACATGCTGTTTTATAATAGATAATACTACACACAAAATAATTGTCTTCAATTTATAAATATTTACTTTCTGCAATACAAGTTGCCTTTTTGCTTTAAGACTTTATGATCATGAACATTAATCTATATCAATTTTAAAGTATTTTAGACAAAAGAAATAATCATTTTCAACTTTGGTCATTTTATGTTTTATTACTAGCTTTTACCGTTTCGTCTTGGAGCCAGAACTGATGTCAGGGGCTGATGGCAATTCCTTTCTTGGACCAGTTGCCAAGTTCCTGGATATCCCTGAATCACCCCTTCTAACCCTCAACGTGATTACTCCAGAAAGCTGGTTGGTTGAAACAGTACACAGCAACTGTGACCTTGATAATATACACTTAAAAGATGTAAGTTACTGTGTAAAGTCATACATATAGAGAGAGATGTGGTAAATTCTTAAGAGCTTTTTTAATTATAGCAAGTGAATGATCATCCTGTGAATGCGTACCAAAATTCACTTCTTTCTGAGTTTTGGTCTTAATCCAGGCATTTCTTTGACTTTTTAAAGTTTCCCTAACCTTCAAATTCAGCTTCTCTAGTTTTCCCAATTCCTAGGTTCCTTAATCTTAATTTCTTTGTACCACTGGCTCACAGAAACACTTGAAAGATGAACAATTTAGAAGATTTGGCAATAGACACTTAGCAAGTTAAGATTATACCACTAAATACATATTTTGCCCTTCAAGTTTGGTTTAACTTGGAGAGAAAATTAGATTCAACATCTGTTTTGTGACTTATTTCTCACAACCAAAAAAAGCAATTCTAACCAAATAAGGATGGAAATCAGGAGGGAATTCAGTATTATACTATACTAAATGCTAGGTGTATCTGCTTGCAATCACCTCCAGTGTGACACTTGTCTAATAGTGAGACTTCTCTTCCTCATCTGTTGTCAGTCCACAGAGAGGGGAAAAGGATATTTTTAAATGGACTCTAAATTTTTAAACATTGAATTTAGAATGAAAAAATGAATTCAGAAACTGCGCATACACACTGTCACATGCATACGCATGCAAGCATTTTAGGGGCATCTGCCCACATTGATGTGCAGAAACTGAAGAAAAAATGCATTCTTCTTTTTTTCCTCCTTCAGACCTGTTTACAGCTTCTTCGTCTCCTTTAGAATGTAACCATTGTTTTGACTGCTGTGTAAACTTTAACCTATAATAGTTTGGTTAAGATTAATCATAGTATTTGCTCTTTTTAAGTTTACTTATGTATTATCCTTTTGTGTAAAGATTTTCCTTCTAGACAAATTTCTTTTGATAAACTCTTGAGTAGATTCTGTTGGATCTTAAATCACACATACCTGTAACATACTAGTTCCTCCAACCTGATCTGGCCAAAAACAAAAACTACAGCTAAAACTTGGTCATAGCCATCATTTAAAGTCAGCCCTTCAAATCTAGGAAAAGATTAGGAAGACAGCATACTAAAATTTAAAAGAAAAAATTAAGAAATGAATTTAGCAAGAAGTGAAAAAAAATCCTTTTTTCTCCATAATCGTATCTCTTGAGACAGCCTATGGGATTCTTAAGAGAGTACAATAATATATTGGTAAGATAATTTTAAAGATTGTAAGCAAAAGTGTGAAAAGTTTGTAATGGGAGAATCAGTACAGCTGAGAAAAGAAAATGGAACATGTGGTAAAATTTCAGCAGCTATTAATGAAAGTTAACTACTTTTTAGTGTTGAGCAGCAAGTCTAGTTATGTTTTTCAGAGCTATTCCGTTAACAGTAGTTTAATTTCTAGGGTTAGAAGACTAAAATAAAAAGAAATTCCCTGTGTCTTTAATAGATTCTGTGAACAAAGTGAAGAACATTAGAAAGCATCTGTAAAAGTTCACTTCCCTTCCAGGGTCTGTTTTTCATTATGTGTTATAATCCTTAAATATTATTCGCAGTTTTCTTAGGAAAATATGAAATGATGAATAAAATCATTTACCAGAGTAGAAAGAAAGAAATTTAGGTAAAGAGAAAAACAACCTGGCAAAAAATGAAGCTACCTTGAAAGAGTTGTCACTGCATGTTAACTTACATAAATGTTCCTTGGCACATCTAATTTCCAAGCATACATGAATACCTGGGAAAAAGATTGGGTCTAGAAAAACTGTCCCTTAATAGGACTCTATTCACAGTGTTATAACCACAAAGACTTCATTGTATAATAATCATTAATGTCATAATAAAAAATGACAGAAGTAGTTACAGGAAAGCTAAACGTGAGACAGTCACATTTACCCACCAGAAAGCAAGCTGTGGCTGTTTTTGGTGTTGTGGTTTGACTGTGTTTTGGTGTTGTGGTTAAATATGCAAATATCAAGAAACAAGAGAAATTCTCATGTAAATTTATTACAAATTGAAAAAGATACTCGTATCAAACTGGCGAAAGATAGTGGACCCTACTATGATACCTAATTCTTAATTAAAAATTGTTAACTTTAAACTCACTTTTAGGGTAGAGTTTCTTACCTATAAATAGGAGTTAAACTAGATGATCTCTATAGTTTCTGTCTTTTAGCATCCTTATATTTCAATTCTCTACCATGGAAATCTTTCTGTTCAAGTAAATTGATAATATGGGCTCTGCATCTAGTGCTGAAATTCAGCACTAGAATGATAATAGTTCATAATTACAGATATAAAGTTATTGAAACAAATACTGCCTTGAAGTTATTTCTTGTTCTTAAGCAGTAAAATTACAAGAATAAGACTTAAGAAAGAAGTGCCATCCCCAAGTTCTTACTTCTGAGATAATCACAGCTAGAAGAACATATAGAATATGGAGGATTTCCAAATAGTCTATCCTTAGTATACCAAAAGTATATAAAAAACCTCATACAATGAAATAAACTTACATAGAGATGACATAAGTCCTCATCTACTTAATAAAATTCCCAAACTGTGAAAATCACTATTTGTTTTATTTTCATATTTGCCTATGTTGTTCATAAGAAGTAGAGAAAAAGCTTTATTCCTGAAACATTTATATGATAATATTTTCCATACAAGAAAAGCTAGTAACAGAATGCCCAGCCATCTAAAAGGTGTTTATGAAGCCTGGGTATGAGCATCACCTAAACTCCCAGCTACTCAGGAGGGGGTGGCACAAGAATTGCAAGTTCAGAACCAATCTGAGCAGCATAGTGGGCCCTGTCTAAAAAAAAGGGGGGGGGCTGTGCATAGAGACAAGGATATAGTCTGAGGAAACTATCTTTAAGAAGCAAATTAGACTTTCTTAGAAAACTATGAAAAAAATAGAAAGGTGTTGATACTTAGTCTATAGGTGTTTTCAACTTTCTTTCCAGTAATTTTAACATTTTTTTTTTAAATATGGGAAAGCCAACTGTTGATAACTTGACTTTCTTGCCCTGAAGTGTGTACTGACTGAGTAATTTTTGGCACTCAGTCTGAAGCACCGCAGGAGAGATAAGGAGACAAAGTATGAAGAGGACTATAATGAGGGGGCACAGGAGAGGCTGCAGAGAAACATGGAGGCTCTCTTGCTAGACAACAGACTGGGGGCTGCTTATATAGTTTACCTCTTGGGGAGGGATTTGGTTAGCTGATGGTGATGGATTCGTGCTACATATTAGCATGTGCAGGTTGGGATTGGGGAATCTTTGACATGCACGGGAAGGAATGACAGGAAGTCTGGCTTGGATCATGAAGGAGAAGTTTGATTAGGTGTCTTTCTGTGATTTCTTTGCCATGTTGAACCTCCACCATGATGCGTAGGCAGAACTGTGGGGAAAAACCTATCAAGTATCACAGATTGCGCAAGAGCAAATTGAACAGATTTTTTGGAGAAATATCTCATCTGTTCTGAAGAAATTTTCAAGCCCGTCCTTTCTCACATTTTCTCTGCATGGTTACTGGGGCAGGCACGTATCCTTGGATTGGGACAATCTTGATGTTATGAAAAAGAAAAGTACAGCATGAGCTTTTGACTCATCAGGTTATTCTTATGTTAAAAAAAAAAAGACGACATAATCCTCAAATACATTTTCTAACATCAAAATAATCACATTGATTTATTACTAAATTTCTGTTACAAGGATTATTAATACCAAAACCAATGGCACATTACCTCCACAGATTGAGAAAGCTGTCACAGCAGAATATGAACTAGAATACCTTCTGCTCGAAGGACATTGCCTTGATTCAGTGACAAAGGAGCCTCCTCGGGGTTTGCAGTTTACACTCGGCACAAAAACTAAACCTGTTGTGGTTGATACGATAGTGATGGCCAATCTTGTAAGTATTCTAAATATTAACTGATGTTATTTAATGTTTTGGTGAAACTTTCTTAAGTTTTCCTAATAGTGAGATGAAATGATCTTATTGTTCAATTGCTGAACAGCTCACAGAGAATAAAAATGAATTCTTAAATAACTAATACAAAATGGGAAGATCATACTTTCATATATGCTTTTATAGGTTTTTATAAAATCTCTCAATTCATTTTTAAAATTTTCGCTAGTGAGTAAACAATTACATAATTCACAAACAGACTTCCATGAACACTTGGATGTTCTAACCATATAATTCAATGATCTTTTTTTCCCCCTCTCTCATTTTAAAAGGGATATTTTCAATTAAAAGCAAACCCAGGTGCTTGGATACTGAAATTACGTCAAGGAAAATCTGAAGATATTTATCAAATAATTGGGTGAGATAAAACCTCTTTTAAATCTTTATATGTGAATAGGTTTAGTGTGATACAACTGAGATCATCAAAACAGCACTTAAATTTGAACAATGCTGGCTCAGATCCAGGGGTCAGCAAGATGGCACAATAGGATTTTCCAGGACTTATCCACTCCACAAAATTTGAATATTTATGCACAAAGAATTAAGAAAGCCAGGTAAGTATCGTATAGTACAGAAATAAGAAAAGGTGCACTGCAGGGGACAGAGCTTTATATTCCCTGCATTGCTGTCCACCAGCTCCTGTGACAATAGGGAGTGAGCACTGAATTTTGCAGTGATCCCAAAACCACGCATACGCCAGTAAAACCCAGCACCAGGCAGCTCTGAGAGCCTCAGACACCAAGCTAGTAGCCACACACCAAGCTTCTAGGCCCCAGTGTCCTGTGGGATCTTTGGACCCCAGGCTCTGTAGCAGCTGCCTGACACTCACAGTCTCCCTTTCTGCCCTGCCATCAAGCCTACCCTAGTACACTGGGCCAGCCCTGCAGACTCAGTTTTCAAGTTCACTGCAGGGTCAGTCTGTTCCCTGCAGGCCAGGCTCCGGACTGTTATACCCAGGATATCCCCAAGCTTTTGGCCTCCTCAGAGCCAGACCAGCTAAACCTCTCCTATCCCAGCTCCACCCCAACCTAAAGTCTGGATAGCCCACTTAGCCCCAGGATTCAGAGGCCCACGTATCCCAGATCTACACCTGACCTTGTATGAGGCTGGTCCCCGTGGGCCAGGCTTCAGTGGGCCCAGGATCTAGGACATCTCCCTAGACATACATGTCAGCCTGGCCTCATGAACTTAGGCTCCAGATCACCACTGGAGACTCTTGTCTTCTGGGAAGCCACTGTGGAATCTGAAACGTGGGCCTTCCTCGTGGACTGTGGTTCTAAGACTTGCTTCCAAGGACTCTGTCTCTAAGTCTATCACAGTGAACACAGAAATCAGGCTGCCCTAGGACCTGACCAGCCAAGCTGGTACTAGGTCAGCCCCTGAGACCCCTGGCATCAGGCCAGACCCCATGGATACAGGCTGAAGTCACAGCCCTACAGATCTAGGTACCAGGCCCTCTGACCTGCTGACTCAGTCACCAGACAAGCCTGCCCAAGGGCTCCAGCAGCAGGTTCTGCAGAGCATACACTCCACAGTACTTGCTCAGAATTTCTGAGTGGGCTGTCTGGTGAAGGGCTTTCCCAAGCAGTGCATCTGCAAAGACCAGGTTAGGTCCCTACTTCACCGTCATATGTTCAGTACCAACAGAGAGCCCCAGGGAAATATGACATCATTAAAGGGATAAAGTGCCTTTTACAGAAGAAAATTCTACCATTCATGACAGTATAGATGAACTTGAGGCCATTATGTTAAATGACATAAGCCGTGCACGGAAAGACAGATGTATAAACTCACTTACGTGTAGAATCTGAAAAGGTCAAGCTCATAGACACAAAAAGACAGTGGCTGTTACCTGGAGTTGAAAATGGGGAGATAGAGTTGGGAAGGTGCTGGTACAACAAAATTTCATAAAGTAAGTTCAAGAGACCTATTTATCTTAGTGATTGTAGATACTAACAATGTATCGTATTCTTGAAAACCATAGGGAGTTTTCACTACCATTCTATAATGTACATACATTTCAAAATACATATAAAAATATACAACTTCATTTCTTAGTTTTAAAAAATAAATTACAGAAAGGTCAACAAGTATCAGTATAAAATACAAATTTCCCATTAAACTGTAACAGTTGCTTATATAACATTGTATTTCAAAAATATAAAAAGAATATGTGTGTGTGTATACATACATATATATATATTTTTTTTTTGAGGCAGGGTCTTGCTATATAATTCAGGCTGGCCTTAAACTGTGGCTATTCTTCTGCCGCAGCTTCCTGAGTGCTGGGCTTTCGGCGAGGGCCACCATGCCCAGCCTAATATGTATCTTGTTCAGTATTCTTTTGCTATTTTCTATAGGCTTTCCATGTATTAGCATAATTTATATATTTATTATTTAATGACAGTATAATAGGTATCTTATATAATAATTTTAATTGATGTAGGCTTAGTTTTATTATTTTTATTGCAAATTGGTTTATTTCACTGAAATTTTCCTGTTCATTAAACAGTCACAAGATCATCACCCTTTTTCTATAAGAAGACAGCAGTAAATATTTAATGTTTATGGTCTTTGTAAATATTCTTTTTTACAACCATTTATAGCTCAAGGGTTTTAAAATAACAGACTACAATCTCATGTGGCTCACGAGCCATAGTACTGTTCATATATTTTTGTAAGCTTAATAAATATCCCCAGATTTTAGTTATTTCAGTAAATACTTACAGAATACCCATTATTATATCATTGATTATACTTAAAAGTATAGAAGTAGTGGTTATTATATCTTTTTTTCTGCCATTCTATTTCATTTTCCTCCTCATGTCATTCTGTTAATACACTTAATGATTTATGCACAAAAAGCTGGGAATTCTTTGTTCTGCAATAAAAAGACATGTAAGAGAAGAGCAATGTCTGTGTGAAAGATGAGATGGTACCTCACAGGAGTGTTGGAGAGTTAACAGGAAGTTACCATTCCATAGTTCAGCCCAGTGGGAACAATAGTTAAGAATGAACTCAAGAATAAAGTCATACAGGGAGGCACACACCCCTAATCTCAGCACTCTGGGAGGCTAAAGCAAGAGAATTGTTAGTTGAGCCCAGAACTGTATCTGTTCACTACTGGTTTTTGCAATGCAAACACCCAATGTAGTTAAACTGTGACTCACAGTCTCTTCTGTACCACTACCATCTGTGTGATCTTGCATCCAATTCTTTACTTTTTAGAGTCTTTGTTTTTCATTACAGAAAAGAATAATTATTCCCAGCCTTGTGGGGTCTTGGTAGGGACTAACTGAGGTAACCATTAGAATTTCTCATATTGATAAGTATTTTCTTCCCACCTCCCACTTCTTCCTTTTGTTTTATCAAGACATGATCTTGCTGTATAGAACAGGCTGGCCTTGAAATCACTATGTACTCCAAGCTAGCCTAAGACTCACAGTACTCCTCCTGCCTCACCTCCCAAGTGCAGCAGCACACCCAGCTCCCTTCATTATAGATGCTAGAACCGCACATGATATGTACAGAACTATACTTTATACTAGATTCCATTTTTCATTATTTCCTATAATATTTCATCTATAAGTAGATATTGTTGGGAGAAAGTAGACCCTGCTACTACATTTTTAAGTACCACTAACATATTAGCAGGAAACATTTTTTTATAGTTAGACAGCTATTGGCAATAAAAATAACATGAAGTTTCTTTGTATTACTTAGAAACAACCAAGCCATAAAGTTTTTGTTAATATTTCTTTAATATTTAATGTTTCCCCATGTGATTAGATTAATAAATCACTCAATACCCAGAACAGAAAATAAATGATGGTACTCTGTTTTCCTAGTTATTTTTCTCATTGCTGAGACAAAATCCCTCACACCCAGAGTTAAAGGAGGAAAGGCTTATTTGGCTCACAGCATGTAGAGGTTTCAGTCCACAGTCTGCTGGCCCGAGGCAGGGGGTATGGCAGGGCATTGCAGAAGAGAAACAGTCCTTGGCAAGCAGAGGGCAGCAGAGTAGCCGAACAGCAGCAGCAGCAGCAGCCTCTGCCTTGTAGCCTTTCAAGCTGCTTGTTCTTTGGGTGGTTCCCCCCACACCCAGGATGGGCCTTCCCTTTACCCACACCCAGAACTGTGCCAAACCAATTGGTGGGCTGGTTTAGTAATCACCCACCTTTAGTCCCAGGTGTTATACACTTCATCCCAGCATCACACATCCTTCATTTACTGCCTCTGCAAAATCCCCACCTATGTCCTCATGAGGCTTTGAGGGGACTTCTACACACAAACCACAACACCTATAATAAAATGCTCTTTGAAACTAAAGTATTAGTAATTAAAACTAGGCTGATGTAAAATATGAGAAAAGTAGACATTCTGCTCATCCCAAAATATGATTTGGCTCTAGTTGATATTATTTTTCTATTTAGGAAAATATTCGTTACTTATACTGAAAAGCTAAGGTAAAATAATGTTAACCAGCATTTCTAAGTCTGGATTTTAAGATGACTAAATTATTTAATATTTTAAAACTTAGTTTTCTGTTTTTAGGCATATTCAGTCTGTAGTTTCTGTCTCCATCATTCTTTTTGTAATATCCAACACTTGCTCTTGTCTTGAGAATAAAATTCATCAAAATTATTCTTAGAAAATAAAATCTTGACAGTTCTAAAATTAGAAAAATTTCCTTAGATTTTTCTAGCTATAGAGAATATCAGAGACTTTTAATTGGAAATTTTTCCCTGCCAAATTTGTATTGTATATAATCATAGTTTGGAATATTTGAATCTGAACTGCTTGCCCTGTGCTTTATAGTAAAGCAGAAGAGGTTTCCAGCAACGCTGTCCACTCTTTCTCCACATCTACTCAGCTGGTCTATTATAAGCTCATTGCATTCTCTGCCATTGGCGGTGGTTAAAGCTCCCTCTGCAGAGTGCTTCTGTGAACACTTCAGAGTTCTCTTTGCTGCACCTTGTTCTCCCCATTCTGCTGATTCCTGTTGTTACATCTGTTCCAATTGGCTGCTTCTAATAGTGTCTTAGTGTCTAAGCTCCAGAGTTACACTTGCAACCTGTTTTTGCCAAGGTCTCTTCATACATGCAGGTTGCTATATTAGTAGGCACATGACTATTCCGTGGTAATAACAAAAGTCAGATGTCTCTCCTGCTTGACTACATCTGATCCATAGGAAATACTTTCACATCACTTGCTCAAAGACTCCGAGTTTAGGCCAGTCACAAAACAGTAAGAACTTTCTTGGCTCCTTGAGTAACACAATGAGTGAGTCAGTCCTTATCAACTATCACATCCAAGTCTAGGGACACTTTCCCAGACAAGAAACAGACACCAATTCCTGTTGTTTTCCAACTTCAAAATGTACATTGCAGAGTTTTCCCCTTAAAAGTATTGCCTTACCAGGTCTAGAATTAGAAGGTAAAAACTCCTCTTGTCTTGAACCAAAAAGTGTAGTGGCAGAGGCTTGCAACCTAACAAGAGCACTTTGAGCCTTTATCTCATCTGGTCTCATTTCTGGACTCTTTTTAGTGTGTGTAATCTCTCTAAGGGTAGTCTGCCTATAGAGATGAAATTGGGAGTGTGTGCCTATTCATTCTCACTTTGTTGTCTGCTGGCAGTCTCATTGGTGTCTCAGTAGAGGCATCCTTTACCCACACTTACCATCTTCTCTTTAATTCTTTATCATCATATCATTGCCAGTTAAAAGTAAATTTTATCAGATTTACTATTGATCATACGTCTTGTATATATCTTTTGTTTTTGCATTCTTTTTGTTTTTATTTGTTTAGATCATGTTTTTTGTTGTGGTTGTGGTTTTGGTTTTAGTTTTAGTTTTGGTTTGCTACTATAGCAGAATACCTGAGATGAGTAATTTATTATGCCATGAATTTGTTGGCTGACAATATTCAGGATCAGGGGTCAGCTTCCAATGAGGGCCTTCTTGTTGTGTCATCCCATGACAGAAGGTAGAAGGAGGGAGGACAAGAGGGCCAAACGTACACTTTTTTAACAGTGCCAGTCTTTTCCCTCAGCATGGATTCTTATCCCTGAATATGATCACTTCCTGGCAGTCTTATCTCTTAATACGTCACAAAGGCAGGGAAGTTTCAGCGTGAATTTTTAGAGGTGCAAAAATTCAACCAGTAGCAAAAGGCTGAATTCTCATATTATCAGAGGATTTAATGAAAGGATCTGGATTCTTTTATATGGTATGAGGAAGAGCCACAGGGCTAAACTCTCCAGGAGGAATGACTTGAACTAAACCAAGGAACTGACCTGCAAGGAAGAGCTGCCAGTGATTCAAAATATGAGAAAGCAAGAAGCTGCTACTATCAGTACATCATCTGCCTCTCAGTGCCCAGAGAGCCAAGCGACTGATGTCAAAAATCTCATGTCTCATGGCCGTCCTTGCCAAAAGAGACCAGCTAAGCATTGTACATTGCCCCCATTCACACCTACCTTTTAGGTGTATGCAAATTAGTGAAATCTAATTATCAGCCAGAACCATAGTTACATAAGAGTCTAGGAAAAACAACCACCAAAAAAGTGTTTAGCTTTGCAACTCTGGCAATGTATGCTGTGCTCTGAGATGTTGCCTGACTTCAACACTGGATTTCCACAAATAGTGTTTTTAGACACATTAGTAGTACACACTTGTCCTGCCTAAGACTTGAAAATGTTTTGTCTTTATATATGAATTATAGCTTTCCTAAGTATTGAATAACAACATTATAATTTTCTTCAGAACATTTGAAGCAAGACTTCTTCATATTTTTCTGCCATTCTGTATTTTAGATAAGTGAGAAGCAGACCTTTTCTTCTCTAAGAATCTAAATGATTTTTGTATTTAGAATTTTAGGATAGCATAATGTATACTTTTTTAAAATAATGTTTTCTGATACATAGTGATTTGTTTCATTTTGAAACGACTTTTACAGAGATAGTGTTTTCTCAAATCTCACTGACAATATAAAATGTTTGAGTGTGTCCCTTTTTTTCCTGCATGAATCCCTTATGATGTGTTTCTCTAACTGCTAGCTTGTTCTCTTCACTTAAGCTGCTGGCTTTTCTTATAATGTCTGGTAGGTTTTAGCTGCTTAGCATAGTTGATAAACATCATAGTGCAGTGATCAAGAGCCAGACCTCCAAGGTTCCAGTTTGGATCTGGTGTTATAATTATATCCTAAATGATAGTTGTATGGGTTAAATGAGTTAGCATTAATAAAGTATTTAAAATGCTGTCAGAAATAGAGTAAGAAAAACTGGCTCTCCACATGCTGAAAACGAAAACTAGACCCATGCCTAATCACCATATACTAAACTAAAATCTAAATGGATCAAAGATCTGAATATTAAAATAGAAACACTAAATCTGTTGGAAGACAAATTAGATAAAAATCTTGAAGACATGGAGGTAGGTAGAGAATTCATGAACAGGAATCAAACCTCACGGAAATACTTCCCAGAATCAATAGCTAGGATCACATCTTATTAAAGAGTTTCTGCATATTGAAAGAAATCTCCAGCTTAGTAAAAAGAAAACCCACAAACTGGGAAAAAAATCTTAGTGAACTCTCCCTCAGACAAGGGACTTCTGCCTAAAACGTATAAAGAATTTTAAAAAATCAGACCCCCTAAATTCAAAGATCCAATCCAAAAATGGGCATCTGAGATGAATACGTACTTCTCAGATGAAGAAATGCAAATGACAAATAAATACATGAAAAAATGTTCATCATTATTACTCATTAGAGAAATGCAAATTAAAACCACACTAAAATTCCATCTCACTCCTGAAAGAATGGCCAGGATCAAGAAAACCACCAAAAATAAATGCTGGAGAGGCTGTGGGGAAAAAGGAACTGTCCTGCACTGTTGGTGGGAGTGTAGACTGGTACAGCCATTGTGGAGGTCAGTCTGGAGATTTCTCAAAAAGCTGGGATTGGAAGTCCCATTCGTTCCAGCTATTCCACTTCTAGGCATATTCCCAGAACTGAAAGCATCATACCTCAGTGATATATGTGCACCTATGTTTATAGCAGCACAATTTGTAATAGCCAGATCTTGGAAACAACCCAAGTGTCCATCAACTGAGGAATGGACAAAAAAAGTTGTGGTATTTTTATACAATGGAGTATTACTCAGCTATAAAGAAGGATCACATTGAGGTATTTATAAATAAATGGACACAACTTGAGACCATACTCATAAGTGAAATAAATCAAACTCACATGTATAAATTCCATATACTCTCCCTAGTGTAAGAAATGGTAAGAGTACATAACAGTTTATAGTAATCATGATTCCCCATTACATTGCTCTGAAGCCTTATAATGTCTGCATTCATTAGTTGGAATGGTTTTATCCTAGTTGATTTTATTATCTATGATAGTATAAACAGCTATTTTAAAGAAAAGACATTAGAATAGCCAGTGCTGATTTAGTATCATATTACGCTGAAGTTCTACTATGTTTTTGTTTTTCTGTTTCCTTTGGTTGTATTCTGTTATGTCTTATTGGATATTATATGTGGTAGTATAAACAGATTTTCTAAGGAAAATGAGATAACATAGTAGCCATTGTTCATTCTTCTGCTATTTGGTTCTAAAAGCCCTGTAATGCTTTCATTCTCTTGAATTGTTTTACACTGTTTGTTATGTTTGATACTATCGTATATGAAGCTATGCTCCACTATTTCAAAGAAAGAGGCGCTATGGTAGTTACTGTTAATTATGGGTTGTCTTGTGATAAAATGCTGTGTTACTTGCATTGTTCTGATCTGATCTGCTTTGTCATGTCCTCTTTTGTCTTAATCTCTTTTTTAAAAAAAAATTTAAAAAGAAAAGAAAGAAATAGAATAAGAGCTCATTGTCATCTCTCCTTCTACCACCTGGTGAGAATGAGAGATTTGCTTTAGAATTATAGAGATTTGGCTGCAGTGATGTGCTCACTGGGTCAGCCCTGGTCCCAGAGACTGTAGATTACACTGCTGAAGTTGCCTTGGAATAACACTATCACTAGCAGTTCTTGAAAGCTTTTAAGAAATTTGACATTGGTACCATCTACGTTGAAACCCTTTTTATTTTGGATATGGTCCTGTCCTCTGCCTTGGTTTAACTCTTGTCAGCCTAGAAGCTAAAAGTAAGAGAAAATCAAAGGTATGTGTTAGTTCTTGTAGTGCTAGGATACACAGGTGTTCATTTAGAAAAATATTAAAATATGCAGTGTATCCGATGACTGAATGCAAGAGTACCTTTGATTCTTTTCCCTTGATAAAACTTAATTTTATTACATAGTTCTTACAATGAAATTTTTAATACCTGAGTATCAGAAAATAATTTTGGAGTATAACTATCATCTTTCTTTAACCAAGTTTGAAAATTAAGGAATAAGCTGTATATATGTAATATAAAATAGAAACATCACTGCCTGGCAAGCACAAGATCCTGAGTTCAATTCCTGGTACCAGAAAATAAAAAGAATAAAGTGATATTTTGAGTCTTATGATTTTAACAGTGCCTTTCAAATTTTGGCATTTGAAAACACTGGGTAGATACTAAAACATTGCATGATAATATAAAATTCCCTTGATGTATAAACATCTTATTTTTTAAGTTGCAAAATTTCTCACATTGTAGTTATCATTACAATATATCAGAGATGTGAAAGATTTGAGTTATGTCATAGCCTTGGTATACAGCAGTAAAGATAAACAGTAATTTAGACTTTATGGATGACTAGGCAATATCCATCTTACTGAGTTACTTTGTACAATGATAGTGTATATTAAACTCTAGGACAATTCTTCAATGTATAATATATCACTTTAAATATATTATGTTTTGATGTCTCTGGCGCAGTGGGTTAGCGCGTTCTGCTGTTAACTAAATATTATGTTTTATTTAAATATATATAAATTGATTATAGAAAGCAAATATGATACATACACAAGTAATATTGCATTTATATTCATTGCAAAGTGAATTGCTTGTGTCATCCTAGTTGTACATCTGTTCCTGAATTAATTATAAACATTTGTGGGGTATTAATTTCTTTTGTTTGCTTGTAGCCATGAAGGAACTGACTCTCCATCAAATATACAAGATGTCATTGTTGTATTAAACAGCTTCAAAAGCAAAATACTGGAAGTGGAGGTATATAAAACTAAAGCTTTTTATTGTCCTTTTCCTAATGTTAACAAATACCTTATTTCCTTCATTTTTATTTTTCAGTGAAATGTAAGTTTTTCTACCTAGACTTATGTTGAAACACTTGCAGTAAAAGGAAGGAGGATTAGACTATAAAGAAAAAACAGTAATTGAAACAGAACAGAAATAAAACAGAAGGAATGACTTTGTTTTTTTCCCCCATGAGTTATGCTATATTACGTTTCTACCACATCTGTAGTCAGATAATGTTAGAAGTCAGTATCTAGAGATGAGATCAAGAAGATAGGCTAAATAGTTCTAAAAGGAGGCATGATATTTCTTTCCTTAAAGTAAAAAATAGGGGATTTTTTTTTCTTTTCTTGCCTTGTTATATATATAGTATGTCTTTTTCATGTCTTTTTATTAGAAAAAGAATTTTTTTTAATAATGGCTGAAATAGTTCTTTTGGACCAAAGTTCCTGCTTAAAACTACTAAAAATGTAGGATACCATGTTCAAATCTTGAAAGCACTGATGATCAATTAATAATGAAATAATGAAAAGCAATAATGAAATAGTGAAGGTAATAAGGTAACAAAAAAGAAAATTAAGAGCTTAGTGAAGTAAGGACACTTAGAACTTTCTCTTGTTCCAAGAAACTTGCTGTCCCTGGAAACATTTGTCCATTCTTGCACATTTGAATTGGCATTTTGATCTCATTTGCTGGGTTATGTGAACACAAATTAAAACCTAGGATCTATGTGAAGTATGTAATTTATTTAAAGACCCTCTCTACACAAGAGAGCCATATCTTTTAACCCACCAAAATAGTCCAAAGAATTCTTAACCTTCACTTGATTCTGTAATAGTTCCAGATTGATACGCTATCAAATAGCCATAAATCTCGAACAAGATTCTAGTAACCTAAACTGCAAATCAAATTTTCAAGTGTATATAGTAGCATATTACCAAGCATAAGCAAATACTCACAACCAGAAAAAACAGCAAATAGTGAAACACAGGTGCACAATAATTCTGAATATTAGAATTCTTGATACAGGCTCTGAAATAACTGTATTCACTTTATTTAAATAAAAACAAGTCAGGCACACATCTGTAATCTCCGCACTCTGGAGGCTGAGCCAATAGAATTGTCCCCAGACTCAAGGCCAGCCTAAAATACATATTAAGACATGTCTCAAAAAAAAAAAAAAACAGAAAAGGAAAGAAGAAAGACTAGACTTGAAAATAATTGTAGGAAATAGAAAACTATAAAAACTATATCCATTTTGGATTTTTTTTTTCTGGTGTTGGGGCAGATTTTCTTTTTAAAGTAGAACTTTGAAATTGAGTAATATAATACTAAAATTAAGACTTTTGTGGCTGGATTTTATATTTCCATAGAATTAAGAAGTTGGAGAGTAGATAGCAAGTATCTTAAATATAATAGTAAGGAAAATTTGGAAAGTCTAGGAGAGCACGAGTGAATTTAAAACTGGCTCTGGCATTCACTAGCTGGCTGACCTTGGACAGAATATTTAATTTCTACTGTCTCATTTATGAAATTGGCTTAATTATAGAACCTACCATATAATGTTATGAGAATGAGACTGTTTAGCTTTGTAAAATGCTCCATGAGTATTTGTTGAATAAATTAAAATAGCGTTTCAGAAGATGAAGAAAGAATGAACAACAAATTAAATGGGTAAGAATTTTTGTGAATTGCTAGAAGATACCAGTTAAACACACTCTATATCTTATCAATACTAAAGTCCTTTACTTCTTTTCTAACAACAATCCTAACTATCTGTCTCTCAGAATTACAGCAGAAAGAAAAAGGAAGGGGAAAAGAAAAACAATGCAGTAGATCAGTCCTTGAACTCCAGTAGCCCACAAACATTCTCCAAAAGAAAAGAACAGAGAAAATGGAGGAAAGTATATTATAACTAAAGATAGAGAAGAGTGTGTAGGTAAAAAGAACTCATAAATTACCAAAAAAGATAAGTGACAATAGTTTGTATAAGACCCTAAGAGCTCCTGAGGAATCAAGGCAGCCCTGTACAACAGAGACACTACTAGCATCAGACTAAGCATTTACAGCACTGCTGTTACAGCACAGCAAAACGAAGCCTTCAGTGTTCTGAGGAAAATAACTTCAGACCTATAGTTCTGTACTTAAACAAATTGTAACCAAATATGAAGCAAAACAATTGTTTTCTGAAATGTGAAGATTAAGAAAAACTACTTTTCATACCCCTTCTGCCAGTGAAGAGGAAGACTGAGAGTGACAGATAGTTCAGGAAGTGATGAAGCTTACATATAAAGAAATGAAAAGGATACCTACAAAGAAATAGGCAATTAAGGCCAGGGATTTAGCTCAGTGGCACAAGCGCCTGCCTGGCAAGCACAAGGTCATGAGTTTGATCCCTAGTACCAAAAAAAAAAAAAGAAGAAATAGGCAATTAATTGTGCACTCCCAGAAAAATGTCTTCAGGAAGACATGGATTCTAGACAATTAGAAAACATAAATAACAAACTAGAAATGATTAGGACTGTAGTAAAGAAGACATTTATATGTAACCTTCCACATGTAAAGACAAAACACAAATAAAAAACTGACAAAAGATAGTTATCTGTTTGTTGGTGGAATGAAAGTACCTTTGACTTATTAGCAGTCTCTCTATGAGTGGCATAGTTATGTCATTCTGACTCTACAGAGGAAATAAAATTTTAGGAAGGGGATTTGGAGATGGGAGAAAACAGAAGCACCGAGAAAGAGGAAGGAGAACTAGAAATGTTTAAGACTGTATAGTAGAAGTTCCCTAAGATGAATATTATGTAAACATACACTAATAAATGAAACTAAAAAGTATAGTTTAATAGCCTTTAACACTTTTCAAAGGATAGTATTTATAGTGTCAAAATAAGCATTACTTACTTTCCAAACTTTAAAATCACCATAGCAAAATACAAAAGATAATGGAGTTATGTTTACCGAACAAATACAAATACTGTCTACATTGACAAATGATAAAGGTTTAACCAATTTTAAGCAAAATACAAAAGATAATGCAGTTATGTTTACCTAACAAATATAAATACTGTCTACATTGACAAATGATAAAAGTTTAACCAATTTTAAGCAAAATACAAAAGATAAGAGCTATGTTTACCTATCAAATATAAATACTATGCATTTATAAATGATAAAGGTTTAACCAATATGAGCTGGAAAAAAGTAGAGATACTACCTAGTGTCCTTATCTTCTAAACAGATTATGCAAGAGAAACAGTTGCAGTTGTTGGAATAAAAATTAAAGAGTTTTGAATGTTACTTAAAGTTATAAAATACTGAACAAAGAACCAAAGATAAGGATATTACTACTGAAATTTCCAAAGAAGGGAAGGAACACTGATTCTGTGAACTACACATCTGTCATCACAAAGAGTAGGGTCTAGATTGTGTGAAGTCAGATATAACTAAAGTTGACAAATTAGCTAGCTCTCATGTAAGCATATTATTTAGCAGTATGAAAGTAACTACCAAAAAAAAAGTAAAAACAAGACTGAATTGATCTTTAAAGAGTAGATATAGCCTGGCTTTCTCTACTGTAGCTATCTTTCTTAGATTTCCAGGTTAATCTTTTCTGTTATATTTTTTCTAACCAAGTAGCATATTTGAAGCTGACAAATTTTACATTTTTTTCTTTTACATATTTTCTAGGTGAAAAAAAAACCAGACAAAATTAATGAAGATATCCTTACTGATAATGAAGAAAAAAAAGGAATGTGGGATTCCATTAAAAGGTAACTAATAATGAATATTTTAACATATAACTATATTGATCAAGAGTCAACTGTGTGGAAATTCTAAAAATGATAAAAATAAGGTACAGATTTTCTTCCATAGGAAGGATAAGATACATATAAATGTTAAAACAAGATAGAAGATCCAAAGAAAAACCGGGAGACAGACTGTAGATTGGGCAGGGTGGAGTTGTGGGGAGCACGGGATGCAGAATGTGGTTGGACGCGCTCACTGTTGCTAAGAAAATGTTTTCTTGTTGACACAAATGAAGTCACCATTCTATAAACATGATTAGCAGAATGCTATCAAGTGAGAACCTCAAGAAAAGTCATGCCAAATCAATGAAAAAAGTATGCTGTGAGTGTATGGCAATGCTGCGTTGATCCTGAAGAGGAACCTGCATCCGCCTCACCATTCCTCCTGTACTTGGAGAACTGTGGAGTTCTAAGCAAGCAGGCGGAGCGCCCACTTTCCCCGGAGCCCAGCCTGGTTGGGGTCCTCACACCATCTGGGTGCAGTGGAACAGCTAGGCGGGTCTGGGGCGCCTGCATCCACCTCCCTGTGTGCTTCGGGGACTGTGGGGTTCTAAGCAAGCAGGTGAGCACCACCAATTCCAGAAGCCCGGCGTCCTGGGTTAAGTGCCCCACGCACCTCCCCCACCCCTACCCCCAGCCCAGCTTGTTTGGGACTCTGGAGGCTTCCAGGTGCAGTGGAACAGCTAGGCGGGTCTGTGGTGCCTTCATCCACCTCCCTCTTCCAGCTGTGCTTGGGGAACTGTGGAGTTCTAAGCAAGCAGGCAGGTGCCCACATTCCCCGGAGCCCAGCTTGTTTGGGACTGTGGAGTTCTAAGCAAGCAGGCAAGTGGCAGTTCCAGAGGCCCAGCGGCCTGGGGAAACTGGGTGCCAGAGTCCCAGGAGCTGCAGGCATAGAAGTGGATTTCCAACAGACCCTGAGGAAGCTTTCGAATAACACTTGAAACTCAGAAATATAGGAAAATGACAAAACAAAAGACCAAATTACAATCTGAAACCTCCAGCCCATCCCAAGAAATCCTAGGAGCGATGTATATAGAAGAAAATATATGCCATACACCTCAAATATCGGACATAATAGCAACTGAAATAAACAAGCAACTCCAGGAAGCTTTAAAGAAATTCAAACTAGAAATAATCTCCCAGGTAAAAGAAGAAATGATAAAAGAAATGAAAGAGATGCTGAACATATCTAAAGAAAACTCAGTTAACAAATTGGAGGAACTAAACAAAAAGAATCCCTAGATGAGCAATATAAGAAACAAACAGAGTACATAAAGCAGATGCACAGAGATATACAGGAAATCAAAAATTCCACTGAAAGCTATAAAAACCACCTGAATGAAAGTGAAGATAGAATTTCAGACCTTGAAGACAGGATTGCAGCTAGTGAACAGGAAAGGAAAGATCATTTAAAAATAACAAAGAATCAGGAAATAATTCAACAACTGCAAGATGATGCAAAGGAAAAAAAACATAAGATTGATAGGGATTAATGAAAAAGAAGGGAACGACATAAAGGACGTCAAGAGGATATTTAGAGAATAGCTGAAAATTCCCAACCATGAGATCGAAAACCGACATCAGGTTCAGTGAAGCATATAGAACTCCAAATAGTCATAACCAAAATAAAACTACACCCAGACATATAGTAATCATCATCCCAGAAATCCAACACAAGAATAGATTATTACAAGCTGTCAAAAAGAAAAGACAGATCACTTATAAAGGAAAACCTATCAGAATCACAGCAGACTTCTCAGCACAAACAATAAAGTCAAGAAGAGCATGGAGTGAAGTATTCCAGATCCTAAAGTAAAAAGATTTCCAACCTAGACTGATGTACCCTGAAAAACTATCATTCAAAATCGATGGTAAAATAAGATACTTCCATGACAAAGAACAGCTGAAGAACTTCATGATCAACTTCAAGCCAACCCTGCAAAAAATATTGAAAGACAGTATAGATACACAAAGGAAAAAAACCACTAAGCAAAGCAGATAATTAAACACAAAGATAAAAATGCAACAGCAGAAACATAACATGTCAACAATAAACCAACATATAACAGTTATAACCATTAATATAAATGGCCTCAATACACCAAGTAAAAGAAACAGACTGGCAGAATGGATCAAGAAACAAAATCCAACCATATGCTGTTTACAGGAAATCTACCTAGTACAGAAGGATACTCACAGACTGAAAGTCAAAGGATGGAAAACAATACTTCACTCAACAGGAACCAAAAAAAAAAAAAAAAAAAAAAGCAGGAGTAGCCATTCTGTTTGCAGACAATGTGAACTTTAAACCAAGAATGATCAGAAGAGATAAAGAAGGTCACTACAGACTCGATAGGGGAAAACTCCAAGAGGAAGAGATAACTACCTTAAATATATATGCACCAAATTCCAAAGCACCCAGGTATATAAAACAAGTATTAACAGAAATGAAAAATCAAATTATCAGTAACACAATTGTAATAGGAGACCTTAACACACCATTGACACCAAGGGACAGATCAACCAGACAGAAAACCAGCAAAGAAATAACAGAACTGAATCACACCTGTGAACAAACAGACTTGATGATAGACAAATACAGAGTGTTCCATCCAACAACATCAGAATAAGCATTCTTCTCAGCAGTACATGGGTCATTCTCTAAAACAGACCATATATTAGCTCACAGAACATATTTAAATAAATGCAAAAGAGTTGAAATTATCCCTTGCATGTTATCGGATCATAGCACTTTGAAATTAGAAATTAATGAAAAAAGATACTGCAAAAATCCCACAAACACATGGAAAGTGAAAAACACACTCTTGAGTAATCAGTGGATCACAGGGGAAATTAAAGAAGAAATTAACAAATACCTGCAAGAGAATGAAAATACAGATACAGCTTACCGGAATCTGTGGGATGCAATGAAAGCCGTCCTCAGAGGAAAATTTATTACACTGAGTTCCCACATCAGGAAAACAGAACAAATACAAATAAATAATGATGCTACATCTCAAACAGCTAGAAAAAGAAGAGCAAGTCAAGCCCAAAGCCAAAAGAAGAGAAGAAATTATAAAAATAAGAGCAGAAATCAATGCAATAGAGACTAAGAAAACAATCCAAAGAATCAATGAATCAAAGAGTTCTTTGAGTAAATAAAATTGATAAGCCCCTAACCAACCTTATTTTTAAAAAGGGAAGAAAAAGCTCAAATTCATGCAATAAGAAATGAAAAAGTGAAATCACTACAGACTCTATAGAAATACACAAGATTATCAACACCTATTTCAAAACCCCTACTCTCAAAGATTTGATAACACGGAAGAAATAGACAGATTCCTAGAAACATATGAAGTACCAAAGCTAGACCAAGAGGATGTAAAACTGCTGAATAACCCAATCTCTATTAATGAAATTGAAAATGTAATTAAGTCTTTACCTACAAAGAGCCCAGGCCCAGACGGATTCACTGCAGAATTCTACAAGAAATGCAAAGAAGACCTAATGCCAACACTCCTCAAACTCTTTAATGAAATTGAAAGGGAAGTAATCCTTCCTAAATCATTGCTGGAAGCAAATATTACTCTAGTACCAAAACCTGAGAAAGACCCAACTAAAAAAAGAGAACTATAGACCAATCTCCCTAATGAACACAGATGCAAAAATCCTCAATAAAATATTGGCAAATAGGATATAGTAAGTCATCAAGAAGATTATATACCATGACCAAATGGGATTCATCCCAGGCATGCAGGGATGGTTCAACATATGTAAATCAATAAATGTAATCCATCATATCAATAAAGCCAAAAGTGAGAATCACATGATCATTTCTATAGATGCAGAAAAAGCTTTTGATAAGGTCCAACATTCATTCATGATATGAACTGTACAGAAAATGGGAATAGATGGCTTGTCTTAGTCACTTTATGCTCGTCGCTGAGACAAAGTACCTGAAGCCCAAAGTTGGGAAAGGAAAGGTTTATTTCTTACAGTTTTTGGAGGTTTCAGTCCACACTCAGTTGGCTCCAAGACAGGCAGGCATGGCTGGGCTGCAGTTCATGGCGGCCACCAGCAGCAAACTCAAACCAGCAAAGAGAGAAACACAACTTCTTCCTGCCATTACATCACATCCTGGCTCCACCCCTATGTGGGTGGAGCACTGACACCATCAATCCAAGCACTATACAATGAACCATCACATATGAACAATGCAAACTCATGAGGCCTGGGGGACACAAACATAAACAATGACAGATGGTCTTTACCTCAATATAATAAAGGCCATCTACGACAAACCAACAGCCAATATCATACTAAATGGCCAAAAATTGAAGGCCTTTACTTTAAAATCAGGCACAAGACAAGAATATCCTTTATTATCATTCCTATTTAATATAGTACTGGAAATACTAGCCAGAGCAATTAGACAAGAGAGAGAAATAAAAGTGGTAAAGATAGGAAAAGAAGAAGTTAAATTATCATTGTTTGCAGGTGACATGATACTTTACATAGAAGACCCCCTAAACTCCATTGAAAGACTCTTAGATATAATAAATAAATTCAGTAATGTAGTTGGATACAAAATCAATACTCAAAAATCAATAGCATTCCTATACACAAACAACAAAATCACAGAGAGAGAAATAAGAGAAGCCACACCCTTCACACTGGCAACCAAAAAAATGAAATATGTAGGAATTTACCCTTATGAAAGAAGTGAAAGAACTATTCAGGGAAAATTATAATACACTGAAAAAAGAAATTGAAGATGATCTCAGAAAATGGAAAGACATCCCTTGCTCATTGATAGGAAGAATAAATATTGTGAAAATGGCCATTCTCCCAAAACTCTTATACAGACTCAATGCAATCCCAATAAAAAATACCATCAACATACCTTATAGATCTAGAGAAATCACTCCTAAAATTCATCTGGAGCAAGAAGAGACCTAGAATAGCAAAGGCAATTCTAAGCAGCAAAGGCAAGGCAGGAGGCATCACAATCCCTGACTTGAACAACAAAGCATCTGTAGTAAAATCAACATGGTACTAGTATCAAAACAGAGCCAAAGATCAATGGAATAGATTAGAAGATACAACCACAACTACAAACACACTCAACCACCTTATCTTTGATAAAGGGGCCAACAGGTTCACTGGAAGAACAGCAGTCTCTTTAATAAATGGTGTTGGAAAAACTAGCTCGCCACATGCCGAAAACTAAACTAGACCCATGCCTTTCACCATGTACTAAATTAAAATCTAAATGGATCAAAGATCTGAATATTAAAACAGAAACACTAAATCTGTTGGAAGACAAATTAGATAAAAATCTTGAAGACATGGAGGTAGGTAGAGAATTCATGAACAGGAATCAAACCTCACGGAAATACTTCCCAGAATCAATAGCCAGGATCACGTCTTATTAAAGTGTTTCTGCATGTCGAAAAAAATCCCCAGCTTAGTGAAAAGAAAACCTGCAAACTGGGAAAAAAAATCTTAGTGAACTCTCCCTCAGACAAGGGACCTTCTGCCTAAAACGTATAAAGAATTTTAAAAAATCAGACCCTCTAAATTCAAAGATCCAATCCAAAAATGGGCATCTGAGATGAATACGTACTTCTCAGATGAAGAAATGCAAATGACAAGTAAATACATGAGAAAATGTTCATCATCATTACTCATTAGAGAAATGCAAATTAAAACCACACTGAAATTCCATCTCACTCCTGAAAGAATGGCCAGGATCAAGAAAACCACCAAAAAAAAAAAAAAAAATGCTGGAGAGGCTGTGGGGAAAAAGGAACTGTCCTGCACTGTTGGTGGGAGTGTAGACTGGTACAGCCATTGTGGAGGTCAGTCTGGAGATTTCTCAAAAAGCTGGGATTGGAAGTCCCATTCATTCCAGCTATTCCACTTCTAGGCATATTCCCAGAACTGAAAGCATCATACCCCAGTGATATATGTGCACCTATGTTTATAGCAGCACAATTTGTAATAGCCAGATCTTGGAAACAACCCAAGTGTCCATCAACTGAGGAATGGATTAAAAAGTTGTGGTATTTTTATACAATGGAGTACTACTCAGCTATAAAGAAGGATCACATTGAGATATTTATAAATAAATGGGCGCAGCTTGAGACCATACTCATAAGTGAAATAAATCAAACTCACATGTATGAATACCAAATAGTTTCCCTAGTGTAAGAAATGATTCAAATATATAAAAGTATGTGGTAATCATGATTCCCCATTATGTGGCTTTGAAGCCTTATAAAGTTTTCACTCATTAATTGGAATGGCTTTATTCTGGGCTTCTTGATATTATTGCCTGTGATGAAATGAACAGCTATTTTGAAGAAAATAAGACATCATAATAGCTAGGGCTGATTTAATATCATCTTGTTTTGAAGTCCCACCAAATTGTTGCTCTTCTACCTCCATTGGTTTTATCATGTTGTATCTTACTGGATTTTGTTATATGTGATAGTATAAACAACAATTTTTATAGGCAAAGAGATAATGTAGAAACCATTGTTAGTTTTCTGTTAGCTGGTTCTAAAAACCCTGTAATACTTTCATCCACTTGAATGGTTTCACACTGTTTTGATATGTTTGATGCTATAGTATACAAAGTTATATTCAAATATTTCAAAGAAAGAGACACTATAGTAACTACTATTAAGTCAGGTTATTTGGTGGTGAAGCACTAAGTTGCTGAAATTGTCATGCTTTGACCTATATTGTTATGTTGTTATGTCCTCTTTTATCTCAATCTCCCCCTTATTCATTTAAAATATTGTTTATTTTTTATTTTATTATTATTTTTTAATTAAGGGGAAAAAACAGGAGGATATATTGTAGTAACGTTTTTGATTTCCTATTGACTTGATTTGAAGCCCTGTATTACTCCCACTATCTTGTTTTGACTGATTAGACTCTGTGCCGTTCTGTTTGATAGTATCAAGTTTGAGGGTATAGGCAACTAACTACTTTGAAGGCAATAAGATTCACTATGATGCCCATTGTGGTTTGACTATTATCTTCTTTTGAAGTCCTGTAATGTTTCCAATGTTTAGGTTTTATTGGTGTTGTTCTGTACTGTTTTGTTCAATTTTATTATACCTAATGATATAGGCAATTCTTTTTAAGGAAGCAAGAGGCATTATGGTAACCATTGTTGATAACCTTGTATTCTGTTTTTACATCATGTGCTATGTCTATCTTTTGTTTTGACTGACTATGTTTTTTCATATTTGGTTATATTCTCTTCCAAAAAAACTAATAAGAATTATGGGAGTAATAAAACCCAAAATGTGTAAATTTTGTTGTAAAAACGAGAGGAAAAAAAGTGCTCTAAAGGATACAACTGCAAGTGTGTTTAGGTGTGTTAAGATAGATGATCATATTACTGAGTTTTTGTTGGATCATTGAACACAACTGTTTGCAGTCTCACTGTTTGAATATCTACTTTGTATGCTTTAATCCTGTAACTTGAACAACTATTTCTAAGATGACAATATGTAATCTATTAAATAGTGATTTCTTACCTTTTTTTGTAATTCTGTATTACTTGTACCCTTATACTGTTTTGTTTTGTTTTTCTTTTTTTCCTTTAAATAAAAAATTTTAAAAAGTAAATAAAACAAGATAGGAAACTGAAGGTGTAAGACAGCTGAAAACATTTTTTCAGACCAGAGGAGAAAAAGTACATAGTTAGCTGGAACCTCAAAAAAGTATTCTTGGAAAAGTTTGAGACCTAAGATCTATTCTAAAGAAAAGACAGGATTCAAAATTTGGAGACAAAATGACATGGTTACATGAAAGCAGAAGGACTGGTTTGTTCCTCAAAGAATAGAAAGTAGCCCAGCTTAGCTGCACATTGAATACAGTAAGGAATTCACTGGTTACATTATTAGTCAATAAAGACTAATACACTTTTTGTACCTGGAATTAAAATAGACTTTTTGTACCTGGAATTAAACTGTGCCGGTATTGGCTCACATACATCATGGATCCAGTAGTACACCTGGCTCTGGGCATTCAGATAACAAGGTCAAAAACCTGTCTTTCTCTGTTAGTTCAACTGTTGCTATGCCTCTTTCATTTTCAAATAGACTTTAAATGTAAAAGTTTATTGCCTCCAGTTGGAAGAAGTAGGTTCTTTCCAAATAATCTTATCAGTAAGATTGCCAGCGCTGTCCCATCAGTCTCGCCATAAACATGTGTTCCAGGTTAAACCAATCACTGTGATTCTGACTGATGGTACGTGAGTTATAATGTCTGCCTCTCGAGCCCGTGGGAAGCCCTATCTCACCTAAATGTCATAGAATGGAGTTGGAGCAGAATAGTTCCCCACAAAATACCAAGTCATCACTACTAGAAAGGGAAAGAATCCCAGGCAGACAAAATGAAAAGCTACTCTTCTGCAGATCCACATTGTCTATTAGAGAGCCAGGAATATAGCTCAGCAGCACAGTTTAATTCCAGATACAAAAAGTCTATTATAAAGATTTTATTTTAGGGGACTGGGGATTAGCTCAGCGGCATAAGTGCCTGCCTTGCAAGCAGGCAGTCGTTAAGTTCGATCCCCGGTACCAATAAAAAGGAAAAAGACACAAAAAAAGATTTTATTTTAATTTGAATTATGAAACCATTCATTACTTTGATCAGAGAGAAGAATATACACTTTAAGTCAAATAGATTCCCCAACCTAAACAAATTTTGTTAATACCAGTTAAAATCATTTATATCATTTATTTTGCCCAGTTTAGGCTTCTTTTTCTGTAGTTGACTTGATTGGAAAGAACAGTCATACTACCATCTCATGAATCAACTTTTTAAATAATTGTCATAACTATCTGTGCTTGGAAAAATGTTTTCCATGATGGTTGCTATTAATTTTTCAAGTTTTTGTTATTTTAAATACTTGTTTATATAAAAATAAGGTTTTTAATTAAGTAAAATCTTCAAACCAAAAGAAATTGAATACTTTATGAATATCGCAAATAACAGTGAACCATTTTTGCAGATGAAATTAGACATATACAGAAACGAGCTGGGGATGATCCAGGTCCAGAAAGCCGTGTCAGTCAGCTTTGATAATGCTACCATGCGATAAACCAAGGAATGGACCTGACTTCCAGACCTCTCTGTATACCTCGTGGAGGTCGCCCAGACCGAAAGACCTCTGTCACTTGCTGTTGACTGGAATCCTTACCCAATCAGAAGAGGTCTAAAAGTCATAGGCATTTTTATATCATATTTCAGCATGGCAAACCTTGCTAGGTGCACTCAGCAGACCTCCTCTGTTGGCACATGCATCTTCCTTGTGCCATGGTCAGCACCTGTACTGTTCCTCCCTTCATTGCTGATCTGCTTCAAAGGTTCAGTACACTAGCTGAGACCATGGCTGGCAGTAATACATGCTTGATCCTCAAAACAACTCTTGCAGTTCATGAAGGATCAAAGATACTGTCTCATTAACCTGGAGGCAATTTAATTGCATCTCATCTTATAAATAAAAGCTCATAAAACTTCAAGTGATATTGTCATATTTGATATTAATAAGTCATAATTGTTAGAGTTAACGATTGTTTAAAATTAATAACTGTCCATTTTGAAAGTGATGTGAAATTTTTTAAAGGTATTCTTACTTTTACTGTTTATCAAATTTAGTATGTAGGCAGATAAAGTTTGCCAGTATATATTAAGAAACTGTTCTTTATGACTTTTTAATTCCAAGTTTCACAAGAAGATTGCATGAAGATGATGACAAAAAGGAAAAAGATGTTCTAAATATTTTTTCAGTTGCTTCTGGCCATTTGTATGAACGCTTTCTAAGGTATGCATATTTTTATCTAATATTTTGAAAACAGTACATTTACATAGCCCAAAGTTCGTAAAGAATAAGGAATGTGCATGAAAAAATACTCCCTCTTTTTTCCTTAATACTTAGTTCCTTTCCCACAGGAAACCAATAGTAGTAATTTTATATCCTGCCAAAGATGTACTGTATCTGTAGACAAAAAGGTATATATTTTTCTTTTTTTAACTTCTTTTGATTCATGTAGTAACAAAATATACTGCTCTGTACCTTGCCCTTTTTTATTTATTTACAATTATGAGACAAATATACAGTTTAAATATATGAGATTTCATGAGTTCTATTTGATTTGGAATGTTTTTCCTTAAGGGTAGAAAATACATAATTTGTAATAATGATATATAATAAAAATATGTATAGTACAAATCTTCCTTTTCTGGTAAAGAAGTGCCTTGTTTTATAAGAAAGAGGGAGATGAGAGAAGGAGCGCATATTTACAGAGTACAAAGGGATATTTTTAAAGAGTTTATCAGCAAGATCATAAAGAATGCCTCAAAAATATTTGAATTATAGTGTTATATTTTTAAATGGAACTTTAAATACACTTGTATCTTCTCTTACTGTGAGGTCTAGAACAGCAAAACAGTGACCTGTCCATTGAATTTACCAGTATAGATAAATAATTCAGGCTTTCAACTTTTGCAGATCTACCTGATTTAAATCATATAGTAATATAGCTGTTTCAACTCTATTTAAAATAAACAAGAATGTTCAGACTAGTTTCTTTACCAGCTAGGATAAATAAATCAATCTAGTCTTTATCAAGATATGTCTCCATCTTTATATAATATGCATTTGATCAGCCATAATATTTAGATACTTCAATTTGATTCTTTGTAATTTGTAGTGGAAAGCTTCTAATTCCTATCTTTATTTAAAAACCTCCTAAAAAAGTAAAATGAATGTTAATTTATATTGGGTTTAATATTCTTTTATACAGAATTATGATGGTCTCTGTTTTACGTAACACCAAAACACCAGTGAAATTCTGGTTTCTAAAAAATTACCTCTCACCATCATTTAAAGTAAGTATATTATTCTTTTTATATAATGAATAATATTGGAATAAGATTTTTATTATTTCTAGTTCATATATTCTCTTTTCAGAATAAACTTTTTGAAATGTATTATTAGTAACTTTTAAAGCAAGAAAAATTCTGTTCAATTTTTATTTAAAGAGGTGTTTAAATGAGAGGATATCTAAAAAAGAGAGTATATCTGCACATAAAACCAAATCAGAATACTGAGCGATTTTTAATAAAATATTCTTACTGTATCTTTTCTATGTTTAAATACATAAATGCTTGCTATTGTGCTTTGTTACCTACAGTATGTATTCAGTACAATAACAGGCTATACAGATTTGTAGCCTAGGAACAACAGGCTGTAAGATACAATCTGTATAGGAGGTAGGCTTACCAACTCAATGTGTAAGCAACTCTGACCAAACCATTAGATACAGCCATTGACATGACTGTACTTTTAATTTTACAAAACAACACTGAATCTCAGGTATCAAATATTTAGAGCGCACTGTCTGATATTTTTATGCTAGTCATCTCAAACATGAAACCCCACAGAGAATCTAGTTTATCAGTTAACAATTCATTTTGGATTCATTATATATCCTCTTTGTCTCTCTAATCAACACCATGTTGACACATCTGTAAACTGTGTGGAATGTGAGCATTCCAAGATCAGAGGCATTTCTTTCCAGAATCAGGTCAGACACAAGTAGTAAAAAAATGTGAAAATTTATCTTAGTCAATAATGACTTACTTTAATGACATTAAACTATATAGTTTTATGTGCCTTGTGTGTCAGAATTTTCATACTTCTCATTAGTGAAGAACGCTGTTCACGTTTCCATTATTGTACCAAACTATTTTAGATGTTCAGTTTAGAAGAAGGGTTTATTTTGGCTCACAGATTTGGGAGTTTCAGTCAGGCTGCAGTGACTTAGCTGTGTTGCTTTCAGCTGTGGCAGCATTGTACGTCATGATGGCAACGCATGGTGGATGGAGGAGGCTGTTACCTCATGTCAGCCAGGAAGCAAGAGAGGGAAGGGGGGCTATGCTCTGAATATCTGCTTCAAGGGCACACAATTGGGACCTGACTTCCCTCTGCTAGGCCTCACTTCCTATACATTCCACCACCTCCCAGTAGCACCACACACTGGTAAGCAAGGTTTTATTACAAGGCCCTTTTGGGGCTGCTTCCAAACCATAGTATAGATGTAATTCATACAAGAGGTGTTTTCAATATTTCTCCTGTTGGTTTATAGCAATCTATAACACTCTCACCTTTTAATTAAAGTATTCATTTTTTTCTATAGTACTCTTCTCATACTGTTTGATGCTACATGTATGTTTTAGGAGGTCATTCCCCATATGGCTAAGGAGTATGGATTCCAGTATGAACTTGTTCAATACAAGTGGCCCCACTGGCTTCATCAACAGACTGAAAAACAACGGATTATTTGGGGTTACAAAATTCTTTTCCTTGATGTCCTTTTTCCACTAGCAGTGGACAAAATCATTTTTGTCGATGCCGACCAGGTAACTCGTTAATTCTTGTTTTCAGTAGCAATCAAACTTTATGCTTCTGTCTGCATATTAGGACTTAACTGTGTCGTTGCTGTGTTTTGCGTTTGTTGCCATACCATGTAATCATGTAAGCACGTGTTACGGTGCATCTACAGAGCACCTGTAGAACATACCCTCAGGATCCAGGGGAAAACTGAAGATATGCCAAGGGGTACCATTTATTACCTAAGACACGGCAATTTTCTATCTAAATTAGCAATAGTTAAGTTTGGAAATTAAATATTTTTAATCATAACAAGAGTAGTTATATAAATTTCTATGAATAGAAGTTGATTTTTAAAAATTAGCTATTTTTGTCAGAAAAATGAGCAGTTACATACAGCTGTCTTCTCATTCTTCTGCTTTGAATAGCATTCATTGATATTTAATCAGTAACCAAGTTCTCATCACTATGCCATTTAAAGGAATGTCCTAAATTTATAAAAAGAATAAGGTCCTCAGCTTTCAAAACGTTATGTGGCTAAAAATATTTCCCCTTTCCCTTCTTGCCTTGCTTTTTAAATCATTAATGGGAAAAATATTTGAAAAATACTCAAAATTTCCAGTAATGGTGATAGGGAAATATGTACAACAAATCAAGTACCTAAATTAGAATTTATATAGTTAGGACAAAAACACATATATTTTCAGAATCTGTATGAGAGTTCAGTACTTATGCTGTAAAATATTATTCTCATACTATTTTCCAAGTTAAAAAATAATTAACCATTATAATAACTAAAAAATAGGCAAATATAAATGATGAAGCATTTCTGTACATACTAATACACATAGTGTACACATATACACTAGTTTTTTTTCCAGCAGGCTTAAATCAATTACAGAATTAACATACTGACATTATGTTATTAAAGCTCTGTAGAATAATCTGGAGGCTTTTATAATTCAAATTAATATTTTCCAATATATAATAGATACTTACCATAAAAAAATTTTGAATTCTTATTTCACATATTGAGAACCTAAGGGCTATGCTCTTATCTGATATTTAACCTTACCTGAAATATGTTGCTTAAAAATGTTATAAAATACTCTCATTGATAAGACTGTTACATAATCTAGGAATATAGATTTCAAATTTCTTTTAATCTGTGAAAACAAAAGGAAATACATTTAGGAAATTGACACTATATGAAAGCAGCGTAAAGAAAATACAGTTTTCTGTGTCTCTACAATAGGGTAATAGTGGCTTAAAATTCCCATTAAAAAGGCTTGTGTTGTTTAATAGTCTTCAACATAGACACTGTTTTAATCACTTAGATTGTGAGACATGACCTAAAAGAGCTTCGAGATCTTGACCTGGGTGGCGCTCCCTATGGGTACACTCCTTTCTGTGATAGCCGCACTGAAATGGAAGGATACCGTTTCTGGAAAACAGGATACTGGGCGTCACGTCTTTTAGGAAGGAAATATCATATCAGGTAAAAAAAAATGTGTACTCTTACCATTTAGTAAATAAGTAAGGTGCCGAATTCACTCTTCTTAGAAATTGCACAGTAATGATAACCAGTTGCATAGTATTACTGCATGCCAATCACTCTTATAAGCCTTTGTATATATTAACTCATAAATCCTTATGACAGCCTTTATTATTATGACACTATTATCATCTCCAAATTATGTATGTTGCAACTGAAGCATTCAGCATTTATGTAATTTGGCCAGGCTTACTATCGTAGTATACAGTTGAGCCAAGGTTTAAATCCAAGTGATTTGGCTCAAATATATGCTCCTGACTACTGAAGAAAGTTTAAGCTTGTTTTGTCAAGTACCATAAAGATAATGTTCAAAGCTATTTGAACTCTTTTGAAAGCCCATGAGTTTCATGACAACTTGAAAAAACTTCAGGTAACCTTAAAAAAAATTAGTCCTACCAAAGTTGTAACAAAATTGAAACTCCATAGAAATAATGTTAGACACAGGGAGCAAATTTATAAAAGAGATAATTGTTACTAGACCCTGGCATATCTGTAGTTAAACCCATCACTGTAGACCTTGCCTGGGGAAAAGTAAAGGTATGTGAACAATATAAGCTATCAAGGAGATTTCAGGGCTGGGGATATAGCTCAGTGTTAGAGTCCTTGCCTAGTATCCATGAGACCCTGAGTTCAGTCCATGCTACCACCAACAAAAAAGAAAAAAAAAATGTTTATCTTTGCAGTGCCCTATACGTGGTGGATTTCAAGAAATTCAGGAGAATTGCAGCAGGAGACAGGCTTAGGGGCCGGTACCAATCTCTCAGTCAAGATCCAAACAGTCTTTCAAACCTAGATCAAGTAAGTAAAATGTTAAATGTTAAATGCATATCATGGATTATTTAAACTCCCTGTATATAAACTTCAGAATTATTTTCAACTTTTTTTAAAGTTTTTCCTTTTATGCAAATAACTCTACTTACACATAATCTTTCAATTCACGCTTGGTATTTTTCTGTCAGTAGCATTATAACCTCACATTTCCATTTTCAAGCCTCTTTCTTTTCTGTGCCCTGTCTCATTTAGTTACTCTCTTTTTCTTAATCTCTTCTATCCTCATTAAACATATTTAATAGTTAACATTTTCAAACTGCTTCATTCAGTGTTCCCTGGAGGCTGCCTTACATTTTCTCCCCCACAAACAGCTTGCTTTCTCTCTTATACCATTAAAATCTTCATAATGCTTCTGTAATATTTTAGACAATTTAAGAAGTAGCAAAAGGCCCTACAACCATATCTCTACAGTTTTGTCTTATCCTAAGAACCTTGCATATTTATTCAGTTAGCAAATACCTGTTTCATACCTCCTATTTGCCAAATCCTCTGCCAAGAAACAGAAAACAGAAACAGGAACTCTGGAATTCATAATGCTTTTGATTGTGATGGATACTTCAAAAACATTAAAAGTAATGAATTTTTTAGAGGAAAAATAAATCAAGAAAGCATGATATAGAGAATTCAGAATGCTAAATAGAGCTTAGAGTTTGCAGCTGTCAGTTGAGCACCCATATGTTCCTGCAAAGATGACATCTGAGTGAGTTTCAGATGGAGGTACAGAAGTGGACCATAGCATGTCTCTCCAGAGCCAAGGTTCCAGAGTGAGAATGAGCCTATTTGAGGAATAACAAGAATACAACTAGAATAAAACTAGGATGGGAGAGGTGCAGCATGAGGAAATAGAGATAATGGAGGGTACAGAACATACAGAAAGTGTAAGCCCTTTAAAACTGTAGTAATTGGAAAATTATAGGTCTTACGACTTCAATACTTGGGACTTAAGTAAGAAGACATTGATAAAGAACTAATAAAAGTCATTCTTGAAAAGTAGAAGAACTCTGAATATATACATAGATACATGCATGAACATACAAAATAGGATCTTTTCAGTATCACTACATACCAGGTTTAGATTGTGAATATCACATTGGTTATTTATTCAGAACCTCTAGTCTTACATATGCAGTAAAAGTCTGTGAAACACAAGGAAAGGATTCATTTTTTAAGCATTCCAGAAATTGAGAGGTTTTCCTAACATTGCATTACCATATTGGGGGGATTATTGCTTTTATTCTGATGGTTGGGCTTTTCATTCCTGCCAGCCAATTAAAGAGTTCTTATGAAAGTCAAATTATCTTTTTATTAGGTAAAAGCATCCAGTGAGCTCTTTGCAACTTCTCCTCTCTTGACATTCTCCTTGCCTTCAGTGATACCATATGTTCTTGGTTGTTCTCTGACCTCTGTGGCTTTCTTATAGCAGTTGTATTGATGAACTGCTTTTTCCTCTGCCTTTCAAATAAATGTTGCTCTTCTCTAAAACAGATAAACTTCCATTTGCTAATGATTTTGTAGATACAATACCAAAAGCATGATTGAGGAAAGATATAATTCCTATTTTGGAACTCATTAAAATAAAATTCTGCTATGTAAAATTTTATATGAAAAGATAATGCAAAAATGCATCTCATAGTACACTATTAACCATATTAACCATAATACACAAAGCACTCAACAGTGAAATGGTACAATTAAAAATGTACCTAAGACTTTACAGAGACCTCACCAAAGGACATATATAGAGCATATATTTCCATATGCTCTGTGCCATATATCATCAGAGAAACAAAAACAATAGTAGAACAATTTTTAAAAATGAAACTGAATGTCTATAGTAGCTTTATTCATAAATGTCCAAACTTGAAATCAACCAACCAAATAAATATATGCACCTGTGGTCGTTTGATTTTTGACAAGTATACCAAGATATTTAATGGAGAAAGAATGTTTTTTACTAAATATGCTGAACAAGAAGATATCTACATATAAAGAATTAAGTTGGACCCTGGCTTCACAAGTAAAAATAACTCAAAAGTAATTCAAAATGGATCAAAGACTGAATGTAAGAACTAAAATTATAAAACCCCTACTAAAGACACTTAGTTATAACTCTTTCTGACTGTAGACTAGGCATTGGTTTCTTGGATATTATTATGGTTTAAATGTGAAGTTTCCCCGAAAAGGTTCATATTGTGGGCGTTGGATTCATTCATGGCGGCACCAACCTCATCAGTGAATCAACCCTTGCTGAGTTCCTAGCTGAAGGTGCTGTGAGGAGGTGGAGCCTGGCTGAAAGAAGTAGTACACTGGGAGCACAACCAGAAGAATTTGTTCTTGTCACTGGCCCTAGCCCTTGCCCTCCCCTCTTCCTCCTCCTCCCCTCCACTCCCCATTTGTGATTTCCAAATGGGACCTCCATGACGCCACAACTCTGGTATTTTATATGCCGTAAAACCAGTGTCACATGAATAATCCCAGAATCTGCCACTAACGTGCAGTAGACAGGATAAATAAAATGTTTAATGTCCATACACTAGGATATTATTTGGCTATAAAAAGGACTCAAATAGCATTACATGTTATAAAATTTATGAACCTTAAAAATGTGCCAAGTGAAAGAAGCCAGATACAAAAGCCTTACTAAGGTATGATTTCATTTCTGCATGTCTAGACTAGACAATCGATATAGACAGAAAATAGGTTATTGGTTGCACAGGTTGCAGGATGGATGTAAGACAAGTATATACATAATTGGATAAGAAAGTGTAAGTGAAAACAGAATAGACCTTTGTACCTAAATTTCTGACATATTCATGCATGATACGTGTGTCACCAGTCATGGTGTGTTGCATAGGTGCTGATGCAGATTTACATCTAACCAGGACTGACTTTTCTAAGAAAGTACAACTAAGTGAGACACAAGTGTAAGACAGTTGAGGATGTATTCAAGGAAATAAGCGTGAGAGTGAAGTCATCAAGATTCTAGACATTGTAGAATACTAGTAGAATCTGTTCATTGGAGGTCCCACGAGGTCTAAGTATATGGATCACCTGAGTACTCAGGGAATGAGTTGGAGTGGTCAGAGTGAGGCCATGAAGTTGAACTTCATAAAAGTTTTATCTGGGATATGGGAGCAAATGACTGGGATAAATTTCATATAAAAGGAATTCTAACTTTGTGTCTTGTAACCTTGCTATAATTGCTTATTCATTCCAGGAATTTTTTAATCAATTCTTGGGATTTTCTGCATAAATAATCACATTACTTGGAAACAACACTTTTATTCCGTTTTTCCAATCTGTGTACTATTTATTTCCTTCTATTACTTTATTGCACTTGCCAGAACTTCTTTGTGATGCTTAATAGAAATGTTGACAGAGGAACTCTAAAATGATTAATCTTAGACTGTATACGAGGCAGCTAATCAAAGTACCCTGCCTGCTTCTGGATGAGAGAGTGTGTGCTCTTTTGTTGTGGAATGTAAGTTTATCTGGGAGAAGAGCTTTACAACACCTGGAATATATACAGTATATCGGAAAAGGTATATATCTAAATCTCTACAGAGGTCTCTAATTTCCTAGGCTCACTTGTCAAACATCCTTGAACCCACATGCTATCAGTGTTTGGTTAGAAAGCCCTGAGCATGCAGAAATGTGAAAACATTCATTAAACATCATTTCCAGCAAGAAAATAGAAGGTTACCTCATGGTCTGAGCAGGGTATAGTAACCAGCATGAGTAATAGGCAGAGCTGAGCCGCTGATCCCTGAGTCAAGGCAGGTAGGAGGCAGTGAAGTTGTGCCCTGGGGCACGTGAAGTGGAGGGTTCACTGCATGCAAGGACTGCATCCTTGGGAGGTGTGGATGGTTCCGTTGCCAAGTTCATTCATGACAGAAGACATGAAAGTGTTGGGTTGAATATTTAAAACCTAAAAATATGAAGATACTTGAAATTTGCATATGCTTTTATTATCTGTTTGCAGTTTAAATATCTTCAGTTTCTTTCTCTAATAGCTGTACCTCCATGTTTAAATTTTTCTATAGGATCTTCCCAATGATATGATTTACCAAGTTGCTATTAAGTCCCTTCCTCAAGACTGGCTGTGGTGTGAAACCTGGTGTGATGATGAATCCAAAAAAAGAGCTAAAACAATTGATCTGGTAAGTGTTCTCATTTGCAAATAACCTGATGTAAAAATACTCAAACAGAAATATTTTCTGTTAATCAGATGTGGAAATTTTCAAAAAGAAACATTTTCTGTTTTACAAATAGAATGATGTGCAGTAGTGTTTCCTTGAACTGGCAAGTTAGAGGGCTGTGTTTGAGGTCCCTAAGACCACCCTTGGGTTTGCTAATTGCTGAGGAAAATTCACAGGTTACAGAATATACTTGTATACATGGTTATGGGTTATTACAGTGAAAAAATAAAAAGCAAAGTCAACAAAGAGAAGGCGTGTGCGGTGAAGAGAAAATCAGGTGCAAGATCATAATTGTCACTGGGTGTAGTGCACGCCTATAATCCCAGCACTTGGGAGGCTGAGACAGGAAGATTGCCATGAGTTCAAGACTAGTCTAAACTACCTAAAGACCCTATCTTTAAAAAAATGACAAGTGTACTCTTTCTATGGAGTCACACCGGACAAACAGCTCCTCAAGCAACTGGAAATTCCACAGCAACATAAAGTGTTTCCTCCCAAGAAATCTTAGAAATGCAGGGCCCACAGTTTTCAGTTTAATTCTCCTGCCAGTGCTTTCCCCAAATAAAAGCCAAGAAAGGTAATTTTGTCTACTTAAGGTATACTACACATCAACTTTTTATTTTCTTTTCATATTATTTAAAGTTCCTTTTTCTTAGATTTTCGTAAGTAGTTTAACTATGCTCTTCATTGTATTTTTCAAACTGTCTAGAACTTAAAGTCCATAACTATATTGCCTTTTTCTTAAAGACAGGCTCTCACCATGTGATTCAGGTGGCCTTGAATCTGTGTAGCCCAAGCTGACCTCAAGCTCACATTATCCTTCTGCCTCAATGCACTAGGATTACAGGCATGTACGTGCCTGACTACTACATTGTATTTAATAACTACAAAACAATGCGATTCTTTTCCTGACCATCTTTTTTTAATGTGCTAAGTTAAGTATAGAATAATTACAAGATATTCATTGAAGAATAAACTATCAAATGTTAGAATTCATACAGTTTTGAATAAAATAAGGCAGGACCGTAAAACAGCCACTGACCTAGTTATGTGTATATGCGTATAGTTTTAAAAAGTAACATACCAACATATTAATGCAGTTGTGGGTGACAGAATGTGTAGAAGCAAATAAAATGACATTGTTACGAGGGAAGCAGAGAATTTTATAGAGAGAAATCAAGAACATGACTGAACATTAACTATTAAAATGTTAAGGTTACATTACAACACATAAGGTTGTGGTTCATGGTAATACTGCAGATATCCTTGGGGTCTTTATGGAATTCTTAAGTGAACACAAGCTGCTGTAACAAATCGCATAACCAGCCTGGGTGAGTATCCCTGTAGGGAGGAGCTTCCCTGTGCACCATGCCTTCTGCCTTGGCTTCTATGCCCCTTACTTCCTGTCACTGTCTGTTCATCTGGAGCTTTTCCTTCCCTTTCAGGGGAGAGCCCGGTTGCCACATGTGGCTTTGGAACACTTAAAATGTTGCTAGTGTGAATTGAGATGTGCTGTAAGGTGTACAATACACATTGGGTTCTTTGAAGGCCCAGGACAATAAAAAGAATGTAAAAATATTCCATTACTAATTTTTTTATTGATTTCATGTCATTAGGGTATGAAAACTTGCTTTTATATTCTTTTTTTGTCATTTGTTTTGTTGTGTTTTTTGGGTTTTGGGGGGTTTGTTTTTGTTTTTGTTTTTGAGAAAGAAAGGGTCTTGCTGTGTAGTTCAGGCTGCCCCAGAACTCATTATGTAACCCAGACTGGCTTTGAACTTGCAGCAGTCCTGCCTCAGCCTCCAAGTGCTAGGATTACAGGTACATTCGTATAAGTGACTTCTAGAAATTTTTTCATTACGTAAGTGGTTTAATCACACCTGCCTTAGTGCTACCCAGCCTGTCTCTTGGTGGGAGTTGGTCATGTTTTCCAAGCAACCTGTAAGAGGAACTGAAAATTTTCATTTTTGTATGAACAGCAAACCTCAAAGAAATAGTGCTATTCAGAAAAGAGGGGGATGCATAAAGTTCAGTGTTCTGCCGAACGCCCTCCTCAGAAACAAGGTGAAGGAGTATGTTATTCTTGGCCAGCTTCTTCATCTCTGAAGATGTTAAGGGAAGGCAGAGAAATGCCAAGGACATGGCCTGGAAGATGGAGAAGAATATCCTTAATGGCACTGAAGGTAGACATGGAAGCATTTATGAATGTCACGCTCTGTCCAGCAACCCCATCTCAATGCTGCTGTCGCAGCCTTGCCGTCTGGCCCTAGGTATTTCTGTGTGAGGGCTGTTCTGTTCCTGTGGGGGAGCCCTACCACTGACCACTAGATGGCAGCAGTACCCCCACCACCCCTCTATCATGAAAACTGAACTCTTTACTCAAAATCTCCCTTGAACGGTATCTTGCCCCATTATGGACCACTAAGAAAGACTGTAGCATCAGAAACACATACACACACACACACACACACACACACACACACACAGTAGTACAAAAAAATGTTTTAATAGTTTGTGATGTAACTAGAAAGAAAATAATTTTCATAATGTTTATAGAAAATATCTGTGAACAAAACCCTATTTTTCATTTAGTGCAAATATATCACTGTATGGGGAGACCCACAGTGGAATTCACTGGAAATATTTGGTCAGTGTAGGTCCGTGGCTCACAACCAACAGCTTTCCCCTAAAGCAGTAGGACAAAAGCTGATTGAAAAAAACGTCACATAAAAAAGAGCTTCAGTATACTTTCTGTATTAAGGCTCTGTAAGTAGCAGACAAGCTGCCTTCATACTTGGTGAAGCGGGGTGCAGTGGTACATGCCTGTAATCCCAGCTACTTGGGCGGCTGACATAGGATTGCAAGTTCAAGGCCAGCCCAGGCAACTTAATGAGTCTGCAATCTAAAACTACAAAACTAAATATAAAAAGGGGCATGGCGGTAGCTCAGCATTCTCAGCCTGGGGGCAGTTCCAACTGCTGAAGTGCTTACCTGGGAAATGTGTGAAGACAGGGGCAGGAACATTTGGTGAAGCTTATGCTCCTCTCGTAGTCTTTTCTGGATCAGAAATGACACCTGCATTTTCCATTGCTCACACCAGAGGTACCAAGGTTATCTTTGCTGCCGCCTTCCTGACAGCTCACATCCAGCTCCTCAGCAAACCCTGTCAGTGGTGCCCCCAGGTGCCTCCGGCACCAGATCCTTATCAGCTTGCCCTGTAGTGTTTTCCTTTTAACAGTTACTTAATTTCCCAAACTCTTTAGGGAGACCAACTAGTTTAAAATGACTAAATATTGCTGATTGTGTTAATTTCTTCAGAGGAAGAAATTAAGACATATCCCTTGGCCCCCACAAATTAATATGTACAAGTTTTATTGTTAGTATGTGTGGAGCTGGATTCATAGGAAGTGATCTTCCACTTCTTGTGTTTCTTTAATGCACCTATAGAGTAGAGTAGTTTATCAGGCTCTTTTATGGAATGGAAGTGGGTGGGGTGGCACACTCCTTAATCCTAGCATTGGGGAGGCTGAGACAGTGGATCACCTGGACTACATAGTTTAAGGCTGGTCTAAACTACTTGGTGAGACTGACTCAAAGAAATAGACTTAAATCATTTTTGTCAAAGTATTATGCAGAATTGTTTGGTATGCTTTTTATGAACTGTCAGATTGCCTTTCAAAAATTGTATAATTTTTGATTGAGATATTGGTATTAAGAGTTATTTGTACAAGTTGTGACTTGTCATTTCACTTGATTCTTTTTTATTATTAAACTTCTGGCCCTTTAAGAATTTAGTAGGGTTAGGGTTTGGATTTTGTTTTGTTTTTTGCTTTGTGTTTGTTTGTTTGGGGGTTTTTTGAGTTTTTTTGTTTTTTTTGTTTTGGGTTTTGGTTTGGTTTGGTTTGGTTTTTTGCCTAGCAGAATCCTCAAGTATTTCCTTTTCATTTCTTGGAGCATGGCCTTTCACTAACAAAATTTATTTTAATGTTGTAGTGCAATAATCCCAAAACCAAAGAACCCAAGCTAGAAGCTGCTGCAAGGATTATTCCAGAATGGGTGGAATATGATACAGAGATACGACAATTACTAGATCGTCTTGAAAATAAGAAAAAAAGTAAAAGTAAGTCATTGTCCTTGCATATCTGAATCATGTGTTGCTTTAATGAGATTTAGACTCATGTTTTGAAGTTAACGAATTGTCAGAATTTTTGTAAATATGTGGCATGTGCACTGTGCTGTATATCCCCAGATGTTTTTATTTTGAGAAAGGGTCTTGCCTGGTCCCTGAATTACACAGGCTGGGCTCAACCTTGTAATCTCCCTGCCTCAGCCTCCCAGAGTACTGGGATTATAAGCACACATCATAGCCAGCTACACTGTTTGGTTTTTTATGGCTCCTATCCCAGTGGATCTTAGATAACAGTTGTCATTGTGGTTTTGATTTGCATTTTTCTGATGATCAGTGCTTATCTTAGTTACTTTTTACTCATTGCTGATACAAAATACCCAACACTCAAAATGAAGGATGGAAAGGTTTATTTCTTACAGTTCTTGGAGGTTTCAGTCCATACTCAGTTGGTCCAAGGCAGGGTGGTATAGCAAGGCCACAATTCATGGCAGCTGTAAACAGCAAGGCAGAAACCAGCAAGAGAGCGAGACACACACACCTTCTTCCCATCATTACATCATATCCTGGCTCCATCCCTAGGCAGGTGTAGCACTCATACCACCAATCGGATCACTGGACAACAAACCGACAATCACAAACACTAGATTTGGTAGAGTCCATAATTGCATGAAGCTTGGGGGCCACTGATATAAACCATGACATTCCACCCCTGGCCCCCAAAGACTCATGAACATCTTTTATACAAAAGACATTTAGTCCATATCTCCAAGATTTGCCAAAGTAGTAACAGGTCCAGCATTGCTGAAAAGTTCAAGTCTCAAGTCTCCTCTGAGATCTATGGCAAACTCTTAACTGCAAGCCCCTGTACAAATGAAGCAAGGTTAAACATTTCCAAAATGCAAAGGCATAAGATAAACATTACCATTCCAAAAGTTACAAAAGGGAATACAAAGCACTGGAACCAAAGCAAGTCCAACATCCCACAGGGTAAACATTAAGTCCTAGAATTCCATGATCAGCATATGAAGGAACCTGGTTACAAACTCCAAAAGACTTGGGTGATTCCACCCCCACCGCACTTCCAGGGATTTCAGCTCCTGCAGCTTCTCTCTTAAAGCCCCTCTGCTCAGTTTTTGCAACTTTTCTCAATCCACATTCCTGGTTTTTCCAAACTTCTGGGGTCTCCACTGCACCTTTGGCTTCATCCTTACATCGTTACATATTGCCCTCTCAGGGGCACACTGCTTGACCTTCCGGGCCTTTTGCAATCAAGGTAGAAGCCATCTTACCTTCAGAATTTGTGCATTTTCCTTGCACCTAAAATCAGCGCCATGTGGATGTCGCCAAGGTTTGCTGCCAGCTGGAGCAGTAGCCAGGCTTTTCTCTCTATGCTGCTGCCATTCTGGAATCTGGTGTGGCAGCTACCATTTTGGGATTTACTGTGGCTTCCGTTGCCACTCTGGAATATGGCACTCTGCAGCTTTCTCCTCTGAGCAAATTCTTTCACTTTAGCTGGTCCAAGGCAGTGAAAGGTGGAAACATGCTGCTTCCTGGATACTCCCTGGACTCCCTGACCATCTTTTTTATTTCTTTGTTCCTTCTCAGCAATTGAAGTCTCAGCTCTATCTTTACAGTCCATAGCTTTCTGGCCAAACTCACAACGTTTTAATCCTGCTGGGATCTTTGCTCTTGATTTACAACATAAGTCTGGCAAAAAGCCCCTAACAATAGCCATGTCACTGACTATATTTGACTGCCTTGAAATTTCCTTTGTCAGATTAATCAGTCCATCACCCTTAATCTCAGTCTCAGGCAACATCTCTTAACTTTTACAAACTCTGCCCACAAGCCATTTCCAAAGGTTCTTATAGCACATGGTCAGGTATAGTCACAACAATGACCCCTCTCCTCCAGTACCAAATTCTGTCTTGGTTACTTTTTACTCATTGCTGGGACAAAATACCTGATACCCAAATTTAGGGAAGGAAAAGTTTATTTCTTACAGTTCTTGGAGGTTTCAGTCCATACTCAGTTGGCTACATGGCATGGCAGGGCCACAGTTCATGGCAGTGCAAATAGCAAGGCGGAAACCAGTAAGAGAGAGAGACACACACACCTTCCCACCATTACATCACATCCTGGCCCCATCCCTAGGTGAGTGTAGCGCTCACAGCACCAATCTGAGCAGTAGACAACAAGCCAATCAAAGACACGAAATTTGGTAGAGTCAATAATTGCATGAGGCTTGGGAGCCACTGATATAAACCATGACAGTGGTATTGAACATCTTTCCATATACTTAGACCATTTGCATATCATGTTTGAAGAAAGAGTTGTTAAAGTCTTTTGCCTGTTTTTGATCCAGCTATTTGATTTTTTTGTTGTTGGGTTGCAAATATTCTTTATATATTCTAAGTATCCCTTATCTGAGTCTCCCATTTTGTAGGTTGTCTTTCCATTTTATAATTATGTTCTTTGATGTACTGAAGTTCAGGATCAATATAGTGTCCTCTGTTTTTGTTTTGCTTGCTTTTTCTTTGCATGTTTTCCTGTAGGAGTTTTACAGTTTAGGTCTTACGTTTAGATCTTTAACTCGTTTTGAATTAGTTTTTGTATGTGGAATAAGATAAAAGCCAAACTTCATTGTTTTTATGTGCAGACTCCAGTTTGCCCATCATCATTTGCTGAAGCAGCTGTCATTTCCTCATGAGACTTGACCATATATTTACAGGTTTATTTCTGGGCTCTGTTTCTTTTGTCTGTCTGTCTCTGTGCTAGTACCAAACTGTTGTGATTACTCTGCCTTTGTTCTGTGGAAATCAGGAAATGTGAGGCCTTCAACTGTGTTCTTTTTCAAAATTCTTTTCAGAGCCCCTTGAGATTTCATGTAAACCTTAGAACAAATTATTTCCTATTTCTACAGAAAATTGTCTTCAGAATTCTGATAGTGGTTACATTGAATCAGTAGATAACTTTGAGTAATAGAGACATTTTAACAATATTAAGTCCTTCATTCTGTGAGCACACTAATCTACATCTCCAATCCTTTTGTTATTTTTTTTTATGAGACAGCGTCTAACAAGCTGGGCTCAAACTTGCAGTCCTCTTGCCTCAGCCTCCCAAAGTGCTGTGATTCTAGTCTTGTGCCACCACATTCAGTTTATGTCTTTGCTTTTATTCGTGTCATCTTCTTTCAGCAATTATTTATAATTTTCATTGTACATGTATTTTGCCTTCTTAGATAACTACTACTGACTCTGTGATGCTGTAGTAAATGAAATTATTTTCTTAATTCTTTTATATATTTTTGGAGATTTTTTTTTATTTGTTTGTTTGTTTTGTTTGTTTGGTACATGACCTCGCATTTGCCAGGCAGGCGTTTATGCCACTGAGCTAAATCCCCAGCCCCTATATATGTTTTATATTTTCTTATTCTCTTATATATTTTTCCTTCCATCTGTGTTAGAAAAAAATTTTTATCTTCAAGTCTTCTATTAAATTTTAAAGAAAGGCTAATACTTAATTTCCAACAGATTTTTTTTTTATTTATTGGCTTCCTTTTTATTTCAGCTTTATTCTTGTTTTATGAATTCATTGAACTTTCAAATTCCTCTGGTTTTCTGAGATAGGGTCTCACTATGTATTTCAGGCTGGCCTCAAACTCATGGCAATCCACCTGCCTCAGCCTCCAGAGTGTGGGATTACAGGTGTGCCCAGCTGACTTTGAATACCTCTTGAAAATACTAATTAGAATTATTAAGTATTTCTTAGTTCTCTTGATTACCTTGTTTCCCCAGTGCTCCCTAGTATGAGCTATTTTGTGTGTTCATCTTTGTTCTTTCTCCTTTTGTTAACACATACCTGGAGGTTCTTGGCTGCTTGTATATATTTAAGAATGAAAGATTAAATTGACCAAAACAAGTAACTAGTATGAGTTTCCCCTGCTTTGGTGTAAATATGTATTTGTGTTCTTTTTTAATGTTTCTGATTTTACTTCATAAAATGGTATTTGTGGGCATATCTGGATCTAGAGATAACAGATAAATAAGATGTAGTCCTTGTCTCATAGACTCGTAAGAGCTCACATTGTAGGTGGGTAAAAAGACAAATAATTATTTACAGTGTAATGGACAACAAAATATACAAAGAGCTAGTCTCATGGCCATATAATGAAACATATAGGCACTGAACTAAACCAAAAGGTCAATACCTGTGTTTTTATATAGCCCATACCTTGGTGACATTTAAGCTAATTTTTATTTAAGATTTCAAGACTAAATAAATGTTCCTTCCCTACAGTTTTGGCACATGACGAGCTCTAGCACTGGTTTCTATAAAAAGGAAGATTAAAGTATGACAGCACAGCTGCCACCTGCTGGGGAAGTGTGGAACTACTGCGGGGACAAAGGACGTTTCATTGATCAGTGACATTCCTCAGTGTAAAGTGTCTTCGTTATTTAAAATATTTAATGTGCTTATGGTATGGAACGAATCTAAGTTCTGTAGGAAATGATTGTTGAGTACTTAAAACTGCACTGCTCTTCTTTTTGGTTGCTCTGATCACTGGGTTTTGACCAGTTAAAATCTGATGTGCCAGCTAACTTAGTGAAAGATGCCTGGCCAGCTGATCCTCATGGGTCTTTATGAAAGACCTCCTGCCTTTTTACCCCAGATTTACGTTGTATCCATGCTTCCTTATTCACAAAATGAATTCAAAATTAAGAGAAACTATTTTTTTCTTCTAAGAAAAAATACTTGTGGTTATCTCTGAAAGCTAAAAACAAGTCTATTTATATCATAGGTATTCTTTTTAAATGGAAGTAATGTTGTACTATAGTTGTTTATTTATCATAAACCATATGAGATTTTAATCCTGTACTGTATTTGTATTACTTTTAGTTTTCCTAATTTTATTTCATAAAATTATATTCATGAGCATATATATGTATTCTTTTTTAAAAGACTTACATAGAAACTAAATTAAGGATATGTCAGTTTTTCTCTATTGTGTTCTAATATAGTAAAGTAAATGCTTAGAACTATCCAGGATTCTAGAATCACAGGATCTTGGGACTAGAAGAAATCTGTGTCAATTTGAATCCCATCCTCAGAAGAGTCTGAAGCAAGCTTAGAAAATTACCCAGAGGATTCTGTTGTTGAGAAACATTCTGGCAGTACAGCACTCTCCTCACATAGCACCGTGAGTCATCTTGGAAGCCCATAGGGTAACAGGCACTTCCTACCTATAGACAGGTTGCTCTGTCCAGGGACAGCTCCGCGCAGCGCTCCATAGTGGGCTGAGAGCCCTCTGCTCAGAATCATTGAGCTCTTTAAAACTAGGCTAATCCTTCTACATTCAACAGCACATCCATGGAGTATTTGAAAATTACGTGAGAGTCATCATCCTTATCACAAAATACAGGAAGGAAAAATTTACTTTGGGTCCTGGTTTCAGAGGTTTCAGTGCATGGTCACATTTTGGCTGCACTGCTTTGGGCCTTGCCATGGCGTGTATCTAGCGGCCCCCCAGAGCCTCATACACTCATAGGTGAGGCTTTTTGGAGCTGGCTGGATCTAGGCAGTGATGGCAAACCTTTTAGAGACCAAGTGTCCAAACTATAGCTCCAAGCCCACTTATGTATTCCAACACACCAACACTGCAATTAGACCTGTATACTGAGGTTTTAGTTTAAAAGCAACTCATATAGTCACATCTTTTAAAAGAAAAACAATAACAGGACTTTCAGTGATACAAACAACTTCTTACTGAAAGATAAAAGTTTGTATTTGGCGTGCTTTTGCACAATTAATGTGATCTTTGCTGTTGTGTATGTGCTGATAATTTGTCAAACTTTGGCTCATTCTTCATTAGTTTGAGAGCAACACATGCAGCACCTGAGGGCATCTGTGACTCAGCTTCTTGTGTCAGATTTGATATAATGCAGAGCTGAAAGCAGCTGTTCACAAGCCTCAGATGTTCCAAACTTAGGTTTAAAAAAATCCCAGAGGCTTTCATTGATTTCAAATCATTTGGCAGAAGGGGCTGGGGATTTAGCTCAGCGGCATAAGTACCTGCCTTGCAAGCAGGCAGTCGAGAGTTCAATCCCCGGTACCGATAAAAAGGAAAAAGACACAAAAAAAAATCATTTGGCAGGGAATTCCACATGTTAAGGACTCAATTTCCAGAACTACCGACTGTGCCAGCCTTTGTCATCCTTTCACTCTTCTGTCTCTTCTCAAGTGTGGCACACAAGTCATAGAGTTTATTTTTCCAGGTAGAGCTTTCTTGAAATTCCAATACTTCCATTTCTAGAATTTCAAAATCTAACCAGTCAGTGTAAACAGGAAAGATCAAGTTTTTTTAAATGTGGTTTTACTTGGAAAAAATATAAGGTTTCTCTATCTTATAGAAGTATAAAAATCTGTTACTAAAATTCTCCTTTGCAGCTGCTACAATGCTAGAAAATTCCCTGAAGATATCCTGATGGCTTGTGGAATTATCTGCAAATGTTGTAGAAATTTTCCAAATACATTTTTAGATTTAGAAACCAGCTCAGCATGCCTGCTGTGGCACACATGAGTAGGTTCACCACCACTGACCTAGGGGTGGGATTAAAGGCGTCCGGTGTTAAATCAGTCCACTACTCAGTTTAGCATAGTTCCTGATATGCGGTATGTGTAATAGGGAGGTCCACCCTAGGTGTGGGTGGCCCCACCCAAAAGGCCCATAGCCTGGATGGGATAAAAGAGAAAGAGAAGCTTATTTGGCTATGTGCTGCTTTGCTGCCTCCTGCCTGCTTTTTTTTCCTCTGTCATGCCCCTCTGCCATGCCACCTGCCTCGGAGCCAACCACGTATAGACTGAAACCCCTACAACAGTGAGCCAGAATCAACGTTTTCTTCTTTAACTGGTGAGCGTCAGGAAAGCTAAGACAGGCCGACAGCAGCACCACACGTCGTGGCAGGAGCATGCGGCTGCTGGGAGGCAGAGAGAAAGAGGCTGAGCTCCCTTTCAAGGGCACACTCACAGTTAACTGACTTCCTCCACAGGCTCCGCTTCCTAAGGGTTCCACTGCTTTGGTAGAGCTACAGATTGGCAGTCAGGCCTTTCGGTATACAGCCTTTCAGAGACATTCAAGATCCAGACTCCAACACTGACTCTTTCCCCAGCATCTACACTCACTCCTAATGAGAACACTTACCTTTCCTCCCCAGTGCTTGGCACTCTGGTCTTACACACACACACACACGATGAAACCCCGGGTGGGCTCACTCTGGCAAAACTAGATTATTCCTGTGGGTTCAGAGGGTCTGATAGGTGCTGTCAGGGGCTGGAGCCAGAAAGAAGTTGGCCTGGCGTGGCCAATATGCCATGTCACCCTCCAGCTCATTCCTCTTTAGAGCCGGGTACCGTGCTGGAGCCAGAGAAGCCCGACTCAGGCCAGCAGCCCGGCTCAGACCAGGTGCTACAGGCAGCTCCCTAGAAGGCTACTGTGGCCCCTGGGACAGACACACCCCCACCCCACCCCTACCCCCACACTGACTTCGGTGCTGTGCCATCAACCTGGTTTTCCACATCTGTAAGAATCTTCTGGCCAGACAAATCAACTAAGCAGACACCTGAGTCCCTTCCCCTTACCCCTGTTACTAAAAACCACCATCTCTAAAAGTCCAGGTTCCGTATTTTATAGAGTATAAGCTAAAATTGCAGAACAGTGTAAACACACCCCACTTGTATCTTGTAGTTTGAAAGACTAAATGTACATCGTTTCTAGGTGAGTGATGATTTTTGAGGTACGATCACAATATACAATGATGTTTAAGTTTTTACAAATGCATTACAATAAATGACACATTGCCATTAACCCCCTCAAATACTCCTTCATTTTGAACACACTTAGCTCATGGTCCTCAGGACTTTCTGCAACAGCTCCGCAGTGTCTCTGAGAGGTGAGATCAAAAGTCCAGTGAACGCCGCTGCAGGCCAGCATCCAGCAGTCGGCCTCGTGCCGGCATCCACTTTACCTGATCTGTCAGCATGTGGCTCCAAGCTCCTCTGCAAACTCAAAATGACCACAGAAGGTAAATGTCTTGATAGACTCAGGACATTGAGGCAGCTGTATAAAGGAATAACTAAAGATAGAAAAGAGAGCTTCCAGAACTTCTTGAAAAAGTGACAAGAATGATGGGATGAATGTGTTCAAAGTGGGGAGTTGGAACCGTTGAGGCTGAGTATGTGCAGGGCTGTGGCGTGGCCCGGGGAATGGCTGAACTAAAAACAAGGAGACGCCTACAGGGGCCAAGATGGGCCACAGCTGAGGCCACCTGGAGACCTTCTGGATGGTTTTCCTTAATTAGCATTGTCTGTTGCTCTGCGAGGTCCTTGAGCCCCACCCCAGATCCCCGTTCAGGTTCCTGCCATTGCCCACTCACCTCCTTGCTTGTTCTGATTAAATCCAGGCTGCCTAGCGTCTGTCAGCCAGTCAGCCAGCGGGCTAGCAGGGTTACAAGCTCTGTGAGGAATTCACTCCTGCAGTAAAGACCATGTCGGTGTCTCATTCCTTTGAGCCTTCACCATGCACCCATTTGGGGGCTCGTGGCGGGGGGGGCCTAGGCACAGACCCCAGCAGTAGGGGAGGGGTACATTGAGGGGAATAAATGGCAATATGACTTTTACTATAATTTTTAAAAATTAAAACATTCACTTTTTTTAAATGCCTCATGACTTTATAAATACGGTATTTCTTTACAGGAACATTCTTTGATGAATATATTTTGAAATTATGTTACATTGAGCTCTTAGCCCCTACAACTGCTGTGCAATTCAAAACATTGACCTTCTTGGGGACACTTAATTGTACTATTATTGGTCAAGCTTGGGCACACAATAACTGTTGGAGAGAGCCATCCAGTTCTGTCACCTGGAGGAGTGCTGAACCAGCACACCCAAGTTCTGAGCTGGGGTATAGGCCTGGTATCTAAGATTTTCACAAAAGTCAGATTCTGGAAAAACAAACTATATTTTTTAGTTTGGTTTTGCTTTTAATTTTCATTAAGTAAAATGGTCACATTCACCATAGGGAACTTGTGCCTGTACATGATTTATCTTAGTTCCTCTTTTTTCTCCTCTGCCCTCCCCTCCCTTCAATCCTTATTTACAAGGCTTTGTTTCCACTTTATCCTTTTTTTCTTTTCCCTTTCTTCCTCCTCCTCTACCCCATTCACCTTTCCTTTTGAACAATTTCTTACTATTTCACAATATGTTATATATTTTGGTTCTTACTTATACTTTGTTTCTCACATCAGAGGAATACCAGTGTCTGATTTATTTCATTTAGAGTATGGTCTCAAGGTGTACCCATTCAGCTACAAATATCACAAGTTTAGCTTTCTTTAAGACTGAGTAGTAATCCACTGTATTAAAAAACCGTATCTTTTTTATCTGTTCCTCGGTTGATGGACATTTGGATTATTTCCAAGGTTTAGCTATTACCACTTGTGCTGCTGTGAACATGGGTACATGTATATCAATGTGGTATAATGCTTTTAATTCTTGGAAAATACCAAGAAGGGAAACAGTTAGGTCAAATAGAAACTCCAATTTTGTTTTTTGAGAAATCTCCACACAGATTTCTACCATGGTTACACCAGTCTACACTCCCACCAACAGTGGAGAAAGATTCCTTCCCCCCCACCAATCCTGCCAACGTTTGTTATTGGTGGGTTTATGACTGTTCTTTGTTGAGTAAGATGCAATCTCAGCATTGTTTTAATTTGCATCTCTAGAATGACCAGTGATGTTTTTTCTTATATTCATTTGCCATTTCAACTTTCTCTGAGAAGTATCTATTCATTTCACATAACCATTTTTGGATTGTATCCTTAAATTTGGGGGGGATATGATTTTTTTCAATTCTTTCATATGTTCTAGATTTTAGTCCTTTGTCTGAAGAAAACTAGCTAAGATTTTTTTCCCACTCTGTGAGTTGTCTTTTCTTTTCTTTTCTTTTCTTTTTTGGTCTTTTTCCTTTTTTATCGGTACCAGGGATCAAACTCACGACTGCCTGCTTACAAGGCAGGCGTTTATGCCGCTGAGCTAAATCCCCAGCCCCATGAGTTGTCTTTTCATTCTGTTGATTTTTTCTTGCTGTGCAAAAGCCTTTTAATGTGATCCTAGTTGTCCGTTCTTTGTAACATTTCCTGTGCAAGCAGGGTTTAGTTCATAAGTCTTTGCCTGCATTATGTCTTCAAGAGTTCAACCAATTTGTGCTTCCGGCAGATTGTGTTTTTTTAATATTTAGATCTTTGATACATTTGATTTTAGTTTAGTGTATGGTAAAAGATATACGTCTAATTTTAATCTTCAGCATGTGGAAAGCCAGCTTTTCCAACACTGTTTATTAAATAGGCTTTCTTCCAGTAAATGTGTTCGTGAGTGAGTGTGTTTGGAGTTATTTCTGTGTCTTCTAGTTTGTTCCATTGGTCTGCAGATCTTTTTTTCCTAGTACCATGCTGTTTTTATCACAGAAACTTTGTAGTATAATTTTAAGTCAGGGATTGTGATGCTGCCTGCCTTGCCTTTGTTGCCCAGAATTACTTTCGCTATTCTAGGTTTCTTCTGGTTCCAAATGAATTTCAGGATTATTTTCTGTAACTCTGTGAGGCATGCTAATGATATTTTGATTAGAATTGCATTAAACCTGTATAACAATTTTGGGAGTATGGCCATTTCACTGTGTGAATTCCTCCTCCCATGAGCAAAGGATATCTTTCCATTGTTGGATACTCTCTTTGATCTCTTTTTCAGAATACTATGGTTTCAATGCAGAGATCTGTTACTTCTTTTGTTGGATTGATTCCTAAGTATTTCACTTTTTGGTGCTTATGAAAGCTGTGGTTTTCCTAATTTCAGTGAATTAAACAAACTATATTTTTTACATAAGAAATTGTCTCTTCTTTCCCCTTTCATTAGAGAAAAGTATAATAGGCAGTTTATATATGCTAAGAAATAGGAGAGTTTGAGCTTTACCTATAGTAATATATGGAGTTCAGGAATGCAGCAGACCTAGACTGTGAACTAAAAACAGCCCAGAGTGTTCATCACACTCAGAACTTAGGTTCCAAAGACTGTGTATTCATTGTTTGGCTCCAGTTACCCACAAGTTCCTGCTGTGAGAGCAGTGAGTACTTTGAAAAGGCACCAGGGCCCTGACGCCTGGAGTAAAATTCAGACTTCTGATTCCTGAAGATGTTAATACTGAAGACATAGTTTGACACATGAATTGGAGCCTGCTCAGAGAAAGGGCACTCCTCTGTCCCAGGGCCTGACCCCACTGTCCCTGGGCAGGAGCCACAAGTGGCCCGCACAGGCAAGGAGTATACAGCAAAGCTGAACAGCTTCGCCGAGTCAAGGCCTGGCTACTTTCTCTGAAAGGCAACCATGAAGCAGCTCATGAAAACTTAGCTCCCTGCCAGTGAACAAGTGAGACTGTTTATCAAACAGATGACGATGTGTCAGGTCTGAGGTCCAGGGTCAGAGGTGCCGCGGGAACCCACCTTCAGCAGCCAGACTGCGCCCCTTAACAGAATGACAGCCTTCACCAACTTGCACTTCCAAGGAGCCGATCTGTTGGTTATTTTAAAAATCTCACCTTAGGCGATAAAGTTAGACCTCAGAGAAGTAAAGGACTAGCGCTTTGAAGGCAAAAGTTGAATTACAGGCAGCTTTGTAATATACAGCTGCTTGGCCAGGGGTGGAGGTCCACCCCTCATCACAGTTTCAGAAGGCCCAAGTGCCTTGCCGGCTGTTCTCCATGTTGCAGCTTATTAACCCCACTTAGCAAATATAAACTTGCATTTTCTGAAATTCTGGAGTGAAGCCTCCTGATGTAAAACTTAGTAACCCCTTTGTAATGAAGAGTTCAGATTTGGAAAATAACCCTGACTCCGATGGCTCTTACTGGGATTTAAGTTTGCTTTAGTCACATGGGTCTGCTGAACACTGTGTACGATCAGTATCCTTCCTGAGGGGGATTCTGCCGAGGAGCTACTCAAATTTTAAGAGTGACTGAAAATCAGAACATGATTTGAATGAAGGGTCCAGTCAACATTATACTGTATTTAATTTAAAGTGGGGGACTTGGACCTAGCCCTTTTGGGTAAGATGAATGTGAAGTAAATAAAGTTAATCATACAACAGCATCAGGTTCAAACTGTATCTATCTATACACATGATCCTTAACTTCCCACAGGCCTGTCTGAGGTCTTCATTTCTCATAGATGTAGTGTTTTTGTTTTTCCCAGGTCTCCTTTCCACCAGAAAACTTGCTAAAATGCGCCATCTAAATAAGGTCTGTAATACAGTAGGTCACCTAACCTGTACAAATTCAACACATATTTCTGCAATTCAAAAAGTATTTCAAAGGGCTGGGGATTTAGCTCAGCGGCGTAAGTGCCTGCCTTGCAAGCAGGCAGTCGTGAGTTCGATCCCTGGTACTAATAAAAAAAAAAAAAAAAGTATTTCAAATTCAGCAGTTTACCCTGCACGAAGGGTGTTAAACATTAGTAAGTGTGAAGCACAAGGTGATGTCACCTTCCCATCACTGCCAAAATAACCAACATTGTAGGTCTAACCTGTAACCCATGCCAACTGTCCTTCTGAAGTCACAGTTTACATGACAAACATTCATGCCCAATTAGAATGATGTTGAAAGGCAAGTGGCAGGAAAGGTCTAAGGAAGTGGTATTTAGAAACCTGAAGCGAGGGATACACATTAGTCAGCCAAGGAAGAACAGCATGGAGAATTTAGTTCCTTTGAAGACTGAAAGGCGGCGCCATGAGGCTGCAGCTGGGCACACAGGGCCATGCAAGGGAGTTTAGAAACAGAAGAGCTTTGGTGACCTGATCCTAAAGTGCAATGCAGAGATAACATCCACTAATATAAATCTAAAACAGCTCATTGAATATATGCGTGCCTCCTTGTCTCATACAGTGGTACTCAATGTATGAATGTAATTTATGATTTTGGGAAAGATGACTGTGGTGTGTTTATCACCTGATAATAGGATCTGTGAACAGAAGCAAAATTCAACTGTTGAATGCCTTTTTGCAAACAATTGTTTGCAAATTGAATTGTTCACAAACAGAATTTTGTGAGTTTCTACAATATTTATACACATGCACACACACATATGCACACACACATATACATATGGTGGGGGGCTTGGGTTTTGTTTTTGGTTGTTTTGAGTACTGAGGATTGAACCCAGGACCTTTGCACTGAACTACATCTCTAGCCTTTTTTTTTTTTTTTTTTAAACGTTTCTTAATTTGCAGCAGTATCTCACTAAAGGTGAGGGGCTAGTGCCTGCTGAACTGCAGTCCCAGCAGCTCTGGGCAGAGCATGAGGACCCCCGCTGTCTTGTGTGGGCAGCAGGCCTTACCTCTGTCAGATGTTCACATGCTGCCCAGGTACTGACAGGATGCTGTGAGAACTAAGCATTAAGTAACTGTGACCTTTCTGAAAAACTTCTGTCCAAATTTAGTCTTCTGCTCCCTTGAATCTTAGGACATATAGAATATGCACCTCAGAAGAAAGCTACTTTTACTGCTAGAAATCTGAGATGGGCTGTGGCATTATCCCTCTCTTGAGACAAGAGAAATGAACAAGGTGAAAGGGAGTCTCCACACAAAGCCAGAGTGAGTTCAGCTGCAACGTTCATATGGAAGAACTGCCCTGCTGGCCCAGGACTTGGAGGATCGGATGGGAGCCATTCCTGGGTTCTGTGGCCTGATCTTCCATGGAAGGAAAGCACTTTCGTTACCTCAGTCACTGATTCTGAGAGGAGCAAAGTTAAAAACCAACTTCTAAACGGACTTTCATACTCAAAGACTAAACATGAATCAAATATGATATAACCATAAATATTTTTATTAAATGTGAAAATACAGGGGCATCAAAAATAGTACCCATATTTGTAGACATGTCTGAGACCTATTTCAAATTTTAGGTTCCTTTATTAAAACACTAAACTGAGATGGACTAAGTCTTTTCTCATTCAAAACAAACCTCAGGGTTAGAGTAATAATTCAACTTCTCAAACATCTTCGGTTTTCACCTCTGTGCTCTGCTCTCCTCTGCAGGTAAATGTTTCATCCACAGATGAATGTACATGAAGCCACGCAGTGGCTAATTTTATGTTTAAATCATTCAACAAAGAGATCATCTGAAAAAAATTACTCCCACCTGAATATCATTTAAAATCACAGAATAAATTCTGTCATTAACGGAAAAAGAATGATCTGATCTACACCAAGGATATTAGTTGACAAATTAGTATTTGCCTTCTTCCTTTATTGATAAACAGAAAAGCCAACCACATTCAAGAAAGCTGCGTGAATCTCTCTAGGCCATCCCAATATGTACACATGGAGACATTTGCAAGACCCGGCACCAGGGCCACGTGTCAGGAAGGCTATCGGCTCTGAGAGAGGCCTGACCAAAGAGCCACTTATAACTTCCACCTTTTCTTTCTTTCTGGTGAACACCAAGTACAACTTCATGTGTTTAAATCAGAAATTTTTCATTATCTACCAGGAATAGAAAATGATGCCAATTTTAAACTGTGATCCTATTGGCCTTCTTAAAACATAGTTATATCATGGCCTTGTTTTAAAATCATGGGGAGGTTTTAGAGTCTATTATCAGAACTCCAACAAATTATTTTCCTACTAATACTTAAATGTAGACTTGTAACATTAAAGGGAATAACATTTTAAAGTTAATATTATGTTACTTCCAATTGCTGCTTTACTGTTTAAGGTATTTGCCGGTTTTCATCTATGGGTGCTAAGAAAGCACAAGCTTTCAGAACTGAGGAGTGCACAAGGACCTTTCTAACAAGGTGGAGAGCCGATGTGTTTACTACTTCCTGCTGTGGGAAGTGCCTGTGACACTATCCCAGACACTCCCACAGGGCAGGCACAGCCGGGAGAGGAGTAGAATCTACCTGGGGCTAGAGCACCTCTTCGGATCTCATTTTTCTCACAGCCACAAAATTTACACTTGTGGCACTTGTGGTTCCTAAAAATGGACTGAAGTGTGGAAGGTGGCCTCAAAAAAAGGGCAGACGTCGTCTCAGTAATGTGTTCGTACATCCCATGTCAGGTAGGTGGGAGAGATGACTGTTCTCCCCTTCGCACACGCAGGACTTTCCTCAGGGAAAGCACACAATGACCGTCTTCCCATTCAGTGGGCATCGGAAGACTACCAGTGGCCATCCGGGCTGGAACTTAAAGGTCATTACTTCACTAATCAGCAAAACAACAAAGGCCAGAGAATTTGTTCCTCTCTATGGTGCTGGTACTTGGCACCAAAGTGGCTTTCTCTTCACTGAAACAGGCTTGCAGCTGTCTGCACATTTCCAGTGATCCACAGTAATTTTGGTACAGGTAAAAAAAAATAAAAATGCAAAAAACTGCCTGGGCAGCACAGTGGGACAGTGACACCTGGGACATTTCCCACACAGCCCCGCTGGAACAGCCCCCGCACCCTCTGGCTCCTCCTCGGCAACTTCCCTCCTCTCCAAAGGCAAGGGCAAGTCCTGTGTCTCCTCTGTTCGCAGGATGCAGAAACTTACTTCTGAAAGTAGGGGGAGGCCATTACTGCATTTCAAAGAGGATCACAGTCACATCTGCAGAAGCAACCAGATTTTTAAATACACACTGCTGATAGTGAGGGATGAGCTTACCCAGACTGCGGAACAAAGAATCTACCTTGCCAATTTCACACTGGCTTGAGATCTGAGCCACTAAAACAAATCAAAGCTGCAAGCTCGTCACTGGTTTTCAAAATGCACTGTCAAGTTTATTGGTAAGAAATGGGGTCCTACATAGACTCAAAAAGCACTTGAGTGCTTTGCTCAACCATGTGATTGTGTCTTTCATTAAAAAAATTTCTTCCGCACATGTTTAAGGGTCTAACTACAGAAGAAAATGGTTTGTGCTTGGCTTCTATGGATATTCATGGACAGGATGCCTTAGTAAATTAAAATGCTTGATTTTATAAAATCAACACATTAGACCTTTTAATGCTTAAAATGTTTCAGAATGCTTCAAGACAAAAACAAAAACCTGTCTAGAATAAAGGTAACAATTCTTTTCTAAAGTAATTATTTTAGGTTTTAAATGCAGCATCAGTAGTTCCGTAAATATTCAAAGATCTTGATTTAATAACACTCATTTTGGGGGACAAAAATCAATATACAAAGACTGACTAGTACATTTTTAGACTGTTACCTTGTTAAAAAGTAACGGGTACTTCAGAGGAAATGGCATCTGATTGGCTGGAAGGACACACAGCCAGCGCGGACTGACTCAGGTCCGTCCCTCCTCCTAGCAGGAGCACCTCTCGCTGTGCGCGATCTGCTGTTCACTGTGCACTGTCAGTGGCGCCAGGGAGGTGGCCGCAGCCTGGAGTGGAGCCAGACAGACGAGAAGCCGGCCCCCTGCACTGGCTGGCAGCATGAACCACAGCAGTCTCTGTTTTCGTTGACTGAGCCACTGTCAATTTCTAAACCAATTTTGGGTTGCTTAAAAAGTATTTCAAACCAAACTTCAGCAATATTAAATAATACCACAGCTATGCCACTTGAACCTGTTCTTATGGATTAATTTTAGTTAACTGGCCTGTAAGTTTTGCAATTAAGTTCAAGACAAATTGGTACCAACCACCCAAATAGGCTTAATGTGACTCCTAGTCTATCCCTGGCATGTTAGCTACCATTTGGTGGCAAGCTGACTAAAAACTGGGCTCTGCACCTCTCACTGACAGCCATGATGCTGCCAGTGCCAAGGGCCTGCCAGCTAAAGGAGGCACAATAATTGAACACTTGCACATGACCAGGCACATGCATGCTTTACCCATTCATATCCTCCTGAAGAACATGTGACATGGCCCATTCTCGTGAAGGTGACAGCTCCTCCGTGCAGGTGCTATGCCAGGCTGTGAAAGAGATTCCGTGCGCCCATGTCGGGAGAGACAGCATCCATGAGCACGTTCACAGGTGAGTCCGTCGCTTCCAGTGGCATCCACTGGTAACACAGCATGGCTGCTCTGTCAGCAGAACCACTCCTCGCCTTCCTGCCCTTGCAAAGCCATTAACCTTCAGTCTAAAGTGAATTTTTCCTATTAAAATAACTCTTTGGTCATGGACAAAGAAAGATCTGAAATTTGTTTTCATTGAGATCCCAGTATAAGGTTTTGTTTTAATCTTTAAAAAATTAAGGAAGAAGAGCAGAAAAAGTTGGTTTAATTGAAGTGGAATTTAAATCTAAATGGTCCTCCTGAGCTGAAGGGATTGAACCCTTGCCATGAGTTCCAGCTTCTGTGAAAAGGGTGGCCGCTGCCTCCTTGTTGGCTTTCTGCATCCAAAGGATCTTCTCCATCATCAAACTTCTTCCTCATTTCTAGAAAAGAAATCAGCAAGCTGGGATGCGGTATCAACTATGAAGGCACAGGTTGAATTCCCGATAAAGAGACCTCCAGCAGTCACAGCTGATGACAGAACCACAGCACTCTAACCCCACAATGACCACGACTCATCTATGCCTGACCCCAAAGTACCAAATGAGCTGCTCTGTTCATCTAAACAGTGGTAAGTGTCCTCAGAAGAGAGGCGAGCAGGACCCTACCACACACCGCACCAGAAGACTCACTGTCCCTGTACTGTGCCTGGAGTCCCACTAATGCACGCGTCTTGGCAGTGGGCAGAGAGGACGCAGCAGGGAACACTCAGGGGATGAGAGAGAGTTCAGCACCTGATACTGTGGATGAACAGGGCAGGAAGTGTGTCTTCATACCATACTTGGTGCATCGCTTACCTGGCTCCCTTACTGGGTTACAAAGGTTCATTAACTTCAATCCAGGGGGCTGGGGATTTAGCTCAGCAGCATAAGCGCCTGCCTTGCAAGCAGGCAGTCATGAGTTTGATCCCCGGTACCGATAAAAAGGAAAAAGACCAAAAAAAAAAAAAAAAAAAATTTCCCAAAGCGAAAAACCAGAGTCTCTCTTTGTTGTATCTGTCAAGTTCAAATCAGAGATTCTGTTCCTACTGCCACAGAAGGCCACAAAAAAGCCAGGGCATCAACTTATCGTTAAATTTCCCTTAGAAACGGCGGAACTTAGTCCTTACCATCTCAGGTCTTAGCCTGTCTCCCTTCCTTCACTCCAGACCGTATTAATGTATGATAAAGAAAGAATGCAGATCAACCAGTAAACCTAATGGCTGATTCATGGCAAGACCGCTGGTGAACACCCAGGGGAGCCCGACAGGCCCTCTCCCTGTCTGCCTCTCTCTGACGCCAGTGTAATCTCTATAATCCAGCCTGGCACATTGCTTTCCTCTCCACAGTCCTAGGACCTTGGTATAGAGGCTCGCCATTGACCTGTGAGGCTGGCAGGAGCATAAGCCTGTATTACACTCAGTGCTGTGTTCTCCTGTCTCAGGTGCAAAAACAGGGGCCTAAAAGTTGTAGCCTATTCAAGTCGAAGTGAGATTCATACTCAGGCCTTCTGATTTCACTTCTGATGATCTCCATTCACTGCACATGCACTGGTAGGACTAAAGCAGACCTATGAAACTGCAGGGCCACAGAGGACCAGGTATGGCCCTCACAGTCCACAGCAACCCCTCCTCTACCCGCTCTGTGACGCTGCCTCCCAGATAGGCCGTGCACAGGGAGAGCTAATAAATCACAAATCCATTACCACTATTTCAAGAGAGAAGAAAAATGCTGAGAGTAAACAATACCTGGATCCGAGAGCACTTCTTTAGCAGCTGCTATGTCAATGAATTTTTTCTCAGCTTTTTTCTTTTCTTCTTCATTCTGAAAGTTATCTGGGTGCCACTGCAGTGCTAATTTTCGGTACGCTTTAATAATTTCTTGCTTTTTGGCATTTCTGAGGGATAAAATTAAGCATTAGTTTAAAAATGTCCAAACTACTGCCATGAAAATTAGAGGAGTTAAGATCTCACTGAAAACAGCAGCCCAGTTTTCCTAAACAGTTCTGAAAAATTTCGCAAAATTTCTGGAAAATCTTTCAAGCCAGCCAGGCTTCCACAAACACTTGTGCATTAAGAATCTTACCATGGTGTGGTTGCTCACACCTTTAATCCCAGCACTTGGGAGGCTGAGGTGGAAGGATCGTTGTGAGTTCGAGACCAGCCTGGGCTACAAAGTGAGCTCAAGGTCAGCCTGAACTGCATAGCGAGACCCCGTCTCAAAAAAGACAAAAAAAAAAAAAAAAAAGAAAGAATCTTACCATGAGTCAAGTCCTGTGCCTTTCTGAATTTCTGAATTTGCAAGCTACTCTGATTTACTTCTTTGACATTAAAACAATAATCTGACCTGAACCCTTTGCTTTGGGATTAGTTCACTTAATAAGAACAGAGTTTCAGATTTTTGGATTCAAAGTCAATAGCTAACTTGGTCAGGGAAGATGGGTCTTACAATAAAAGTACGACTTTCATTTTTAGGCCTAAAGGAACTTTTTTTCTTTTCACATTCCCTTGTTCCCTATCTACCATTCCTACCAAAAGAAAGCTCAATGCAGGGGGCTGGGGATTTAGCTCAGCGGCATAAGCGCCTGCCTTGCAAGCAGGCAGTCGTGAGTTCGATCCCCGGTACCGATAAAAATGAAAAAGACCCAAAAAAAAAAAAAAAAAAAAGAAAGCTCATTGCTACTCTCTAAAAAAATCCAGATCTGGAATTTATTCATGCCACAGACTACCATAGAATCAGTGGTCTCTATTATAAAAATTTGTAAAATTTTCAAAACAGTTTTATGACATTTTAAGATTAAAATAACGTGACTACAATAACAAATGAAATGAATCAGGGAGAGAAAAAAAAAGAATGATTACCTTAAAACTATTAAATACAGTAATGCAGATTTTAAACTAATAATTCACCTTTTTACTCCTAAGATTTTATAATAATCTCGCTTCTGTGACTGTTTCAGGAGTCTCTGTGCTTTCTCCAGACCTTCCCGAATCTGCTGATCATTTTCATTGTGTTCATGAGCAGCTTCGTAATCCTGAATAGCTGTCAAAATATATTTAAAATAATGGAATCAGGGAGATTTACAATTCATTGTTTTTACATAGCCTGCAAAATTGGGAACTGCCATCGCCAACCACATCACCACTTCTTCATTACTGCTAAGTCCCGCAGTGACATCACCTTTATGACTCTGTTCAGAAACTTACGGCAGACAGTAAGGCTGAGGTGAGTCTTCAGGATCAAAACCTGCCACTCCAGGCTTAGCTGCTGGCCTTCCTGCATTATCTCCCCATGCACCTTTAAGTTATTGCAATATCAATGCTTCACACAGAGCAGTCTTCCTGCTACTGAGCCTGAGCGACTGTTACATTGGAAGGCACAACACTGACAACATAGGCACGGTGAGCAATGAGGGGCAGCATGGAAGCAGCAGAGGCCAGAGCAGGGCGGGAAGCACTGCCGGCGGTCAGGTGGTCAGGATGACTGTTACTGGTGCACACACGGACATCACCCATGCCTCATCTGTTCAGAGGTGGAGCTTCCAGGTGACTGGATCAAGGGGTGTGACATCCAGGTCACTGGGAGTGGAACTGTGGAAGGCATGTCTCCCCCACTCTCGTTCCTCCTTTCTCCCTGTCTCACAGCTCACCACTGTTTTTTCTGTTATGTCTGTCTGTCTGTCTGTCTCTCTCTCTCTCTCTCGCTCTGTGTCCTGTCTCTGTGGGTGTCAGGTTTTTGTCCCAGCAATGGGAAAGCTAACACAATGATTGCGTCACGCAGAGTTCAACACAGACTAAAACAAACATGATTTTTTTTTTTTTTTTTGAGTACTGGGAATAAAACTCATGACCTTGCGCCAGGCAGGCGCTTATGCTACTAATATAAATCCCCAGCCCCAAACATGATTTTTTTTAAGTGTCAGACAAAATAGGAAAACACATTGTCCAGATACAAAATGTTTAATGACAATCCACAATACATCTTTGCAAGTATTTTAAATATTTAGAAAGTATAAGGCATCTAGATATCTACTGCTGTACAGAAAGACATCAACTACAGCTCTGAGACTCAACTTGAGAAACCCTGCCAACACAGGTGGGCCCTGGCTCGTGTCTGAAAACTGATTTCATGAGTAGGTTCCCAACATTCCATCTCAAGAGTGGCTCACGACGCCTGAACAGTTTGTATGAACAAGTTGCTTTATACCAAATATCCTTTAGGAGTCTACAACTCTCATACAGATTAGGTCCTAATGAACACCCTTACTTCTGGATCTCTAATGCACTTCCCTGGTCTTGTGTTGTGAAATTGAGCTTATGCTGTATGACTTCACAGGGAGAAGAAAATGAAGAGGGAAAAAACAAAACAGAAAGTTACAGTAAATAACGCGCTAAAAATGTGTGCAAAGGGCATACAACCCATGTGCAACCTGTTTGCAGAAATCCATGAAGGTAATACTTTAGTTTAAACCTAAGAAAACTTTCCTGAAATGAAACATGCATCTTTATACTAAAAAGCTACACTGAGAACAGTCAACACTAAGATAAATCTTCACATAATTCACAGACTTGAAAGATAAAAGACCAGAGAAAAATTAATGAAACTGGGTTTTCCAAAGCAATATTCAGTTCCAGAAAAGAACAGAATAACTACAAGATGTACCAAAAAAATGTGAGCATTGAGCTTGCTTATGCAGCCACACCACCCTTCCAACATAAAAGCATCAACAGTTTTGAATGTAGAATAAATGCAATTTTCCAAGGCCACCTCAAGGAAACCAGGATGAATTTGCCAACAGGGGGCTGGAGAACCCAAGGCCAAAGGAGGGACCACATAGAACCTATTTCACCAGGACTTATAGAAACCAAGGAAGTACGGGTGTCAGGACAGTACAGAAGGGAAGTTGAGCAAAAACTACAAGAAGTGGGGAAAACAAAAGAAAAACATCAAGCAATGGGTTAAGTTCAGTAATATTACAGAGGAAAAGCATTGTGAAGGAATTTTCTTTAGTAGTGAAAGAAGAGTGAAGAAGAGCACATTGAAATGCTCCTCATAGTTGGAAACTAACCGGGGCTGCCCAAAGAAAGAGGGTAAATAAAACAATACAAATAACCCAGAACAAAAACTCAAGCCTCCCTAAGTATCAGAACAGCACACAGAATAACATGCAAACATACACACACACACACACAGTGAAAGAGAAAACCAGAATATAGACCAAATAGCTGTCTTACCAATAAACATGCTTAACTCATCTACTTAAAAGAATGGCATGCTAGATCACAAAGCAAACTCAACTCTATGCAAGAGACACACCTGAAACAAAGCAATTTAAAAAGTGGAAGAGTTTAATCAAAATTTTGCAAAGTAAATTCAAGTGAAGTCTGATTTATGATCTAAAGAGCAGATAATTAAGTTAAAGACCTCATATCACAGGGATACATCTGTATCCATGTTCATAGCAGTTCACAGGAGCACAATTCATAATAGCTAAACCTTATAAATAGTCTATATGCCCATCAACAAATGAAACATTAAAAAAAAGTATTTATACTTAACTGAATACTACTTTGCCATAAAGAAGGATAAATGAGTCATGTAGGAAAATGGATACACCTTGAATCTCTAACATAAAGTAAAATAAACCAGACACACAAGCTTATATATTGCATGGTTTCTCTTGTATGAGAAACCTAAAATTTAAATAAAGGGCAAAATAAAAGATAGATAATAGGAAATAGATCTTTTGCAGACAGGAAGGGGACCAAGAGATGCAGGGAGAGGAGAGGAAGGGGATGAAAAAGAACAAAGATGTGTTATGTACATGGACTGACTCCACACAAGGACGATAATCATTACACAGTGGAGACACATACTGATAGAAAAGCTTAAAAAAAATGTAGCAAATACTACTACTAAAGGCTCGAAATCACACTGAAGACACATAACAATTATGTGTGCATCAAATTAAGAACATCCGTGAAACAGAAATTATAGAAGTACTAAGAGACCTAGGCGCATTGGTCTAAGGGGACTTTTCCCTCTTTGTTCACCATATTTCTAGTGAAGCAAAACCATACCAGAAGGAAGACTGACTGAGCTATCAGCACGCCAAATTCCAGCCCAGAACAACACAGTACACACACATATTAACACAAATAACACGACAATAAATTCTAAAAAAAAAAAAAAACCAGTATTCTCTGTTCATAATGTTACAATAATGAAAATAATGACCCAGAAGCAGAAGGCTCTTCCATGTAGAAAACTTAAGACAGCTGAACAAGATGGCACATGCCTGTGTTCCCAACACTCAGCAGCTGAGGCAAAGGAGGACTGCCACACAGGGAGCTCAGGACCCGCCCAGATAACATACAAAGACCCTGTCTCAAAAAAAAACCCAGAAAACAAAAAAGAAAAGCTTAAGACAGCAGAAATACAGAAGTATAAATTCAAAAATCTAGAAAATAATGAAAAGTTGATGTTTCAGAACTTACAGGACACCACTCAGATGGTGCTAAGAGGACAACTCAGAGCCCTGAGACGATCAATAACATGGGAGAAAAATAAATTAATCATGATTCAAAGTTAGGAAACACAAATTAAAGTGAGATGTCTTTGTTAAATTCTTTACAAATACATTTGAAAACTCAAGAGAGTAACTCAAACTAAACCCGAAAAAGAAAATCTAAACATTTTCACAGAGAATGTTCTCGAAGAGCTACCTCCCAATAAAGAAGCAGGCTTTCCATGGAGATTCTTCAAATATTTTAAATGGCAAGGAGGTTCCAATGCACTCTTTCATATCTCCAGAACACTCAAAAAAGTGAAACTTCAATAACTGCATGAATTCTTACCCTAATTACAATAACTGTTTCCTGTGTGAAAGTCTGGGATTTTCAAAAAATCATTTTTCTCAATTTCTGAGATGGATTTAGCTGTCCCCATTTTTTTTTCCATTCTTTTTTGTCTTTTTCGTTTTTATCGGTACCAGGGATCGAACTCACGACTGCCTGCTTGCAAGGCAGGTGCTTATACCGCTGAGCTAAATCCCCAGCCCCTAGCTGTCCCTTTTGACACTGGAACGAATCAATCACTTTTTGAAGATGCACTGTCAGCAAAATGAAAAGGGAAGCCAAGAAACTTATAGTTGTTTAAAAAGAACCCAGACGGGCAGTGAGTGGGCCCGGGACGGGAACAGGGTGGCAGGTGCAGGCTGCGGCACACAGGAGCCACAGGACTGCAGGGCCTCTTCATGAAGAAACAGACTCCACTTACACAAACTCCATCTTTAAATCCTCATGTGGAAAACATGCAAAAGTTATGTCCAGCAAAAAATAAATAACAACGCTGCTTTGGCATGAGGAGAGCTTCCCAGGAGTCCTACTCCAAATGAGCAGTTAGTAGAAATGTGGCCTTCTGTAAACAGACTGAAAACTAACTGACCAGCTGGTGATGTGATTTTATCTCCCATATGAATTCCAACACACAACTTGATCCTGCAGTTACATATCTGTAATATGTTAGTCTGCTAAATGGTATTCATTTCCAAACTGCCCACAGGTAGAGATCAGAATTCAAACACTGTACACGTAAACCTTGCACTGCAACAAAAGGTTTACTAACACATGAGTGGAATGGAGATAGAAATGAAAATACCTAAACATTCTGATTATAAGTAATATTAAAAACACATTGTCTAAAGGTGATAGAGTAAGAAAAAGATTAAGATGTATTACAGTTCATGCATATTATAAAGCTATAGCTACCACCACTAAGTAAAATAAGGATCGCAAGCACTGCTACACCGAAACAGCAGCAGAAGAGCCGACACAGCTGTGAGTAACGGGGACACACTGGCCATGAGGCTTGTCCTGAGCGGCACAGGGAGATTTACTCAGGCCGCTCAGAATGGACAGTTTAAAACTTACTGAAGTACTTCTAAAATCTTGTGAACCATTCAGAAGCTGCTCTTTTTTTTAAAGACAAGATCTCACTATATCATACAAGCTGGCCTCAAACTCAGTGATCCTCCCACCTCT